CCCACTCATTGACCAGGGGAGGTATATAGCAAATCTGATAAACAATTTTTTCAACCAGTATACGGCAACGTACCTCACGGACATGACATAACTAATACATAGTACCCACTAACGTGCAAAATGCTGTGCCCTTGTTTGCTTGAATTAACTGGAGAATGTAAGGTTTAGCCAGGGCTTGCCATTCTCACTTCCTGAAAAGCATACGTATATATACTGCGAATAATGCTTTCATTTTTTGGTGACCGAAGTCTAGAGTGAGACCTGCTCTATGTAATTCAGACAACTAGGTATAGGCTTGCTTTGCTCACCAATACTATAATGTAGTGTCTTTAGTGGCTCTAATGTTCTGTGTGTGAATACTTAGTGGGGACATGATGACTCTGCTGTCACAGGTGACACTCATTATTACACCACCATCAGTTGTATGGCCTGTACATGTATATATTAATAATTATAATTTCTCAAGAGGAAGGTTATGTATACCCTAGTTGGAGCCAACTTCCGTGTGATAGTGTGCGTCGGTCACATTTGTTAGCATTCTTGCCTACACATACCTTACACAAGGGACGTATGTGTGTTGAACACATTTAGACACAAGTATGACACACTAAAATAACTGTCACTCTACCAACCCTCTCCTATTACACTTGTGACATAAGACACTTACATTTGCCCTACTTTCCTCCCATCTCCCCCTGCCGACACAGGGAGGACTTCAAACTGATTCTAAGAGAAGTCCGTCGCAACAACAACAATACTCTATCGGGTCTGTCTCTGGACTCCATTGCCGACCAGGTCCGCTCCATCATCGAGACCAGGGAGAGAAACAAGCCCGGCGGAGCCGAGTCGGGGTCAAAGGGCAAACCATGCCTACCACTGCCTCCCGTGGCTCAGGCTCCGCCCCCTATCAACACCTCGGCGGAGTACACGGACGAGTGGTCGTGTGTGATCTGCTATGAAGACATGGACTCCAGTGACTCCAGTAGACTCATGTGTGGCCACCGGTTCCACACTGAGGTACAGTATACACCATACTAATGTATACAAAGGGGGTATAGTATGCGTTGCTAGATGCATTAACATACAGTGTCAGTCATACGTGTACATACATAATACTGCTTATAGTGCACCGTACTATAAGGATGCTTTGCTCAATGCAGCATGCAGTATAATAATAGCCCGTAAAGTGTTACAGACAATGCTAGAAAATGTGTGCATTGGGATCGCCAGTTCAGTCCACCCTTCTTTTTCTCCCTCTCTCTCTCAGTGTATCAAGTCCTGGTTCAAGGAGCAGAACACTTGCCCCACTTGTCGCAACTATGCTCTACTGCCAGATGAATACCCCTTCCTTAGCCATTAATGTTACCATGAGACTTTTGAACAATAAACACACTCATAGTATGTACTTTCATAGTATACCACTGTATGTAAGTTAATGAAGGTTTTTAGTCGCTCACATATAAGTCCAATTCAAAACCTTCTCCTTAACTTCTTGTGGGGGATTACGTCCCTCCCCAGACTCCAGTATGTAGCCCCAGTCACTGAGTCGTAGACTGGGATCTCTCCTGTGGCGAGACTGGAACTCCTCACGATAGACGTCTCCTGCTCGATGCAGTATTAGGTAGTACCACATATCCCTTTGCCCCTCTCTTCTCTTAACCAGTTGTACGTTGGTGGACCTGTCCACTGCATTCTCCCATGTCAGGTGTTGGAATGTAGCCTTGGGACATGGAGAGTCTGGGCCTCTGCAGCAAACCAACTTTGTGCTGTTGAACCATATTGGCTTTTGATGAGTGAGTTTCATCGAACTTAACAGTATTAATCTATCGGGTGTGACGATCACTCCCTCTGTGGAGTAGCAAGGCTCTGCTGCCTCTTGGTCTGGCTGACACATTGCAAATACTTTGATCATTGCCCCATTCTCCCTGGCTCTGTGTCCGCATGGAGGGATGTGGAGACTGTCTAGTGTCCTTGCACACTCCCTCACCCACTGCCCTGAGTAGCTGCAGTCTGACATAATGTTAAGAACCTTTACAGAGGAAGCCCTGATGTTGAAGATCTCTTGGAAGCTGATGGTTCCATCTTTGAAACACCAGTTCCCTGTGGTTTTCTCACTGTTGCCCAGATAGTGCAGAATAGCTGCATGATCAAAAGTGGCTTGGTGTCACAAATAAAATGTGAATGAGTTCACAACATACCAGCTTGTTCCTTGCAATTCTGAAAGAATGTCTCGATCTTCTTGAGGTAGTACTGCTTCGATCTCTGCATCATTGGAACATCAACGAGTATCTGGACCACCGACAAGTTAGGACTTTTAAGTTGAGTGCTAGCAGCAGCCATCAGATCTGCAGCAGCTTCTTCATGTAGACCTGGTACTATGACTGGGAGAGAACCAAACATTTTTGTGGCCTTTTCAGCAAGAGATGGATTTTTGATTCTTTTACTGACCACCAAATCAGCTGGATACTCATCACCTACTGATACCAGGATCATGACTTCTGTTTTGTTTCCCTCAACTCCTCCCCTTTTTCTATTGTAATTCAATCCAGCAACTTTCACGTTATTTTCTCCTGTAACAACTTTCAGCTGCTTCTCTAAGGCTCCATTCACCGTCTTCAGTTCTAGCAGTAGTTTACTCTCCCGTGTCTCCAGACATTGCATTAACACGAACTACAGAAGGGATACAAATGTGTATGGGCAAACTACACCAAATTGTCCATTACCTCTGTTGAATCTTTCCTAGACTGAGCAAGAGCCTTCTCCAGTTGAAGACGTGTCATGGAGTGGTAGACATCGTGGATACTGGAGCTGATGTGTTGGAGTCTGTCCATGGCCTCTGAGGCTGTGGGTCTTGTCATTGGAGCAAAGTCCAGACACTGACTGATCAGCTGTACCAGCTCGTGAGACCTGCCCAGGATCCTTCCAACACTCTCCATGTACCTGCTGCGTCGCTCCACCTCATTTCGTGGCACCAGTCGACGCGAGCGTGGGTCTTGGTAGGTGGAGGGTAGAAGGTCTCCGGGGAACTGCTGGATTGCCGTAAACAGGGCCAGGTGACCAAACGAGAACATGTCCAACTGTGGCCCATACTTGGGAGGCAGTTCAAAGGCCTCTGGAGGCATGTACACTGCAGTACCAGGCACTCCTCGCGTCATGGTCCTTGCCTGGCCTGGTTGCATGTCCACCATCCGCGAGTTACCCATGTCGGCTATCTTGGCCACCATTGCCGAGTTGAGCAGGACGTTCCTAGCTGTCAGATCTCGGTGGATGACGGCTGGACTGCGGCTGTGGAGGTAGACAAGCCCCCTGGCCACGTCTTGCAGGATGGAGACCTTCTTGGCGGGGGGAATGTCGGGAGTGCTCTCCAGGAGGTGGTCCAGACTTCCCTGCAGCATCTCCATGACCAGAACAGGGAGGTTGACAGTGGAGGCAGACTGGGTCTCCAGGAAACAGATGCCCAGGAACTGGACAATGTTGGGATGACGGAGACTCGACAGAAGCTGACACTCCTCGTAGTATTTCTCGATCATGCGGTCGGCCCCTTCGTTTTCAGAGTTGACTAGAACATCGAACATTCTCTTACCGGCGCAAACGAGTCCATTGACCTTCAATTCCTCCACACATCCATAGGATCCCTCCCCGAGCTTCCTTCCAGTCTGAGTCACTCCAGACAAGACAAATGGCTGGAGTCGAGCAGCAGTTTGTAGTGCTCTGCGAGAGTGAGAGGTTGAGAGCTGTAGTTGCCTGGCCATCTTCTGTTTGGATTTATGGTCTGTGTATGAGTGTGTGAACACTGTGAACAACCTTCATTGATTAGAACTCACCAGAGCTGGTTGGTAGTTGCTTGTCTTGGTGTCGGACGTGGACTGAGAGTTACAGTATACTGGATGGCATTCGCCTGCGACAATATTGTAGGTGTGTTTCCGCTTGCTCTAAAAACTTTCCGCATTCTGTGGTTGGAGTACTCTACCCACTGTAGAATGCCCTTGTTTGCTTGAATTCTGGAGAATGAAGGTTTAGCCATGGGGAGCGTACGGAGCCAATTATCGAACGACTTGTGTACCGGCGCTTGTAGCTCCGTCCAGAAACGCCTCCGGAATTCGGTTCCTGTACCGTCGCAAACCCCATTCTATGCTCTACTAGACTCGCAAAGGTCCAGCCCACTAACGGTTTTCCATTTAGAGCGCTCTCCTCCGTTATATGTCAATGTCACGGACCATTTATCGAACACCGGTACCGACCGCCGAACGTGCGTACATTTGCGCATAGCGAAATATCGAACGCTGGGGAAAAACCCCACCTACAGCACAGGCATTGTTCAGTTATGTGCCGCTACTGCACCTAAACATGCATCATATATGCAGCTACACGGGCGCTATTCAATCCGGTAGTTGTAAACGCGCAAACTCGGGAAATATTCACCAAATGACTAACTTTCCAAGGAGTGTTTGTGCAATACAAAAACTGAAACAAAAAAACGTCAGGTAGAAAGGTTATTGAGGCAAATAAAGCAGAGATGCTCATTCCCATCACTATCTGTGACACAGTCATCTGCGCAGTCCTCATGCAGCCATCGTCCACATGCGCATCGTTTCCTGATTGATCGTCGTCGTAGGAAATGTAGCACACACAACATTCACTGTCGTTGATCTGAGTAGAGGGGTTTGCAGTTTTCCGGGGACATTTTGCTGGTCTGGTACTACGAGCGTTTTGGCTTCTCTTCGTTCCAACACCTGCGGGTTGCTTTCCCTTCCCTTTTTTTAGCTTTTTGTGCTTCCTTTTCAGCTTTCTCCTTCAGTTTTTGTTCCTGCTTTCTTGCTCGCTCCTCCGCCTTTTTCCTTTGTTCTTCTTCCTTCCTTTTCTTTGTTTCCTCCCTCTCCTTCTTCTTTTTCTCTTTTATCTCTGCTTCCTCTTGCTTTTTTCTCTCTTTCCCCTTCAATATCTCAAAAGCAGCACAACTTGTTAATAAACGAGCCCGAGGTGGCTCTCCTTTTCGACCAGTGGGAGTTGACGCTAGAGGAGGGGTCAGGAACTTTGAGAGTGCCGACGTTGATGGAGTGTTTTTTGTGCTGTTATCTGTGTCAGGAGGGGGAGAGTCAACAGCAATCTCTGCGACAGGAGTGACATCTGAAAAGTGATGGAGGAGCGATTTGCCTGATGATGCACTTGTTTGGGGGGTGGTTAATTCGAAGCCAAGAGACGTAGTCAGGATCTCCAGCAACATCAAAATCTTCCTCATAGCCGACCTGAAAACGACGCTGCTGTTCTTGCGAGAATGAGGGTCCAGCCACCACACCGAACGAGGAAGACGGGCGGGTGCAGACCTCGAGCGCTTCCTGGCGAACGAGCACCTCTTGCGCGGCATACCCAGCACTCCTGGTGGGGCAATAAAGTAAGTAATAGCTGCCCATATAAAACGACTTACCTAAAGAGAAAAGACCGACGAAAAAAAAACCGTGCGGAGGGGGTCCGCATACCTTTGTCCACCTCCGTTTTCAGCCGTATACTTCCTTACCCTCGCAGGCCTCGCGAGCGTTCGATAATAGGTACCGTTCGATAATTGGCTCCGTACGCGATTTGCCACTCGTGAAAAGCTCAATTATACTGCGAATAATGATTTAATTTCTTGGTGACCGAGTGCAAGAGAGTCTAGAGTGTGACCTGCTCTATGCAATTCAGACAACTAGGTATAGGCTTGCTTTGCTCGCCAATACTATTATGTAGTGTCTCTAGTGGCTCTAATGTTCTGTGTGAATACTTAGTGGGGACATTATGACTCTGCTGTCGCAGGTGACACTCATTATTACACTACCATCAGTTGTATGACCTGTGCATATATCAGGCCATGCACCCTCAGTCAACTACAATTCACAATCTAATTGGTCAGTTAGTGGGGTGCATGCGTGTAGACCCTGATGCAATGATGGTATTATAATAGGAACGGCATTGCAAAAGTTGCTTGATTGCCGTATATACCCTTACGTTCGCAATCCCAATGATTGTATAATGTGCATGAATTTTCATGCATAATACAATACACAAACATACTATACAGCTATAGCTAGTGCATCAGGAGTGTAGCCAGCAGAGTTCTGAGAGTGTTCTCATTGAAATCCACCACCTTCCTCTTCTTCCTTCCTCTGACCATGTCTGTGTCTTTATACAGTGGCCCCAGTCTCTCCACTGCCACCAAATTTCCCCCACCTCCCTCCCCCTCCTCCTCCCCCTCCCCTTCCACGTTAAGACTGGACATCTGCAGCCACATTAGTGTCACACTTCGTCCATCGGTCACCACACACTGCCCACAGAGGGGGTGTGGCAGTCTTGCTCCTTCCCTCATCACCCCAGACCCATATCGGCTCACTCCCTCCTCCACCAGACGAGAGAACAAAAATAGGAGACCTTTCTGGATCTGCTGGACCTCCCACAGATGAGACTTGGACACCATGAACAGTGTATGGAGGTGGGGAAAGGTTTCGACCGTGCCACCCGACCCCTCCTCGTCCTCCTCCTTTCCCTCGCTGTCTTTGTCTCTCTCCTCCTCAGCCCAGTCACAGATCTCCCACTGTTTCAAGTCTGTGAACAACTCTCTGGTGGGCGTGGCTACAGTTTGGGCAGACTCTGCCTCCTCGGGGGAGAAGAGGGGAGGGAGGGGGTGGCGGGAGAGGAGCATGTCACCCGGTCGGCCACTCACTGCCATTCTGTGACCATGACACATCCATGATCCACTCACACTCAACCTTAGGGAAGAGGTAAAAACAGGGGAGGTCGGACAGAATAGGAAAGAATAGGTGTGCAACTAGCTAGGAACTACAACTTTACACTGCACAATAATCAGCACTATAGACGAAACTGATATCAATATATATACCCTTGTGCAAGGTGCAGATTTTGGAGCTGGGGATACGAGGGTGCACGGGAGAATACGGACATCAGTACGTGGCGAAGAAGATTCGCAGCATACGAGAGTGGCGGGAGACCGTTCTCCTTACTGGGCGTCTCGAACTCCCTCGCCACCACGATACTCCGCAGAACCTCCCTCCTGAAGAGAGAGACGTCCACTCTGGCTTCTATCTCCCGCACGGCTTGTGGGACACCCTCCAGGAGACGGCACCCGGTCCAGTGGTACCCCTGCACGTCTGCCTCCACCGTCTCCACTCGAGGGTGGACCACGTAGGCCGGCACCAGCTGTAGCCATCGAACACTCACTCGCATCTTCTCTAGCTAGGGTTCAAAGTTTGGTGAATCTTACACGTGCGCGACTGCGCGTTCTTCACGGTGTTTGCGCATGCGCATCGTACGCGTATACAACATTCTGTCTATATCACGGTGGGAATTACATTATAACTATGAGGACACATTTACACATGTATATAAAACATAATGAACGGTATAATGATGCATTACGTGGACAGACATGCTAGGGTCTATAGCTGTAGGGCTTTCTCTGTCTGCAGGAATAGTCTTTCCACAGTTGAAGATCCAACTGTGGAATTTCCTCGCACGCAACCCTCACCATACCCGACACAAACACGTTTCGCGACACCCTCCTGATATCGTCGGAATTGTCGCACACTACACGGCCCAGCGACGTCTGTTTCACCGCCCTCCTCTGCATCTCCGAGAACTCTGAGTCACTCTCGAACCAGAACCGGTCGCCGTCTCTCAGACGAGAGAAGGAGAGCCCGAGGATGCAGGCAAAGGTGGGCCCCAGCTGTGCACCCTCCAGTCGCTCCTCTGCTAACCCAGCGACCCAGAGGTCCATCCCATCGCTGAACCCCTCCTCGGGACCGTATATCCACCGCAGGAGAGTCATCGTGGCATTGTCTCTGAACCTCACTCGGTGGCCGGGGAACTTCTCCTCGCAGTACCGCTGCCAGGTGCGGTAGCTCGGTATGCCGTGGTCGCGACCTCGCTGGATGTTGAGTGAGGCCAAATCGCCACCGAGACTATCGGGAGTTTTGGGGAAGAGCTTTGTTGTCAGAACAGAGTTGAGAAACTCGTCCACGGGATTAGCGACGTCCATCATTAGTCCGCGGGCGATTCCATCTGTACCCATGCCCTCGAAGTAGGCGACGGGGTTGAAGAAGGCCCGGGTGAGATCCAGGTGGCCTATGTCCATGGCGGTGTAGTTTTCGTTCAGTCGGAGGAGCTGGTTTCGCACGAGACTGTGACCGAACCGGTACGCTGCAGTTGCAAAGGAGTTTGTTATGGAGGGATTGACAAACGGGTTGTAGCCACGGTACATGGGGATGTACGTTCGCATGTAGGTCCCAAACAGGACAGGAAGGAAGTCGTAGAACGTGATTTTCTGCATCTCTGCGCCGACAATCTTCCTGGCTACCTGATAGATTCTCTCGTCGTCCCAACACGGGTTCATCTCACCCAGTCTGCGAGCCATCCTGTTGTGTTCCCTCAGCCACAGGGTGTGCATGACTGTCAGTCCAGTCTGCTCGTTTGCCCTCTCATCTCCCGCGATGAAAAACGGCAACACCCCTCCCTCTGGGCGCTCCTTCTGAAACGGGAGGTTCCCCCTGTTTGACTCGGAGCGACCGCCCTGTTTGAGTAACCCGCCCGCCCTGGATCGAAGAGACAGAGCCAGTTTCTCAGAGGACCCGTACACCTGGGACCCGTCGATGAAGGAGGTGATCTGATTCACCTGGTCTCGGGGGACGCTGGCTGCAGACTCCAGCCGACAGGTGGGGAGGGAGCGGGAGAAAGTGAGGCAGTGCCCGACGTTCGACGATGTTGCACCAAACGTGGTGTCGTTCTCGTGGACGTGAATGGGGAAACACTTTCGGGTGTGGTTACAGCCGCACTCCTCGTCAAAGACGGGAGACAGGTCAAGGTCGTGGTCCAGAAACTGTCCCCATTGCATCACCATGTGAGTGATCCCTGCACCCAACACCACCGCGCCTTCTTCTTCGCCGCCGAGAGATGTCGTGTTGCTGCGGATTACCTTCCAGCTGATGTGACGAGCGCTCGGCCAGGGTGGGGAGGTGTGGTTTCCGGCGAGGGCCTGACTCTGCCCGACCGGGGTGGATATTCCGTCCTCGTACTCGGCAGGGATGACACGAAGAAAAGGAGTGAGGGCAGCTCCGTACAGAGGATAGAAGAAATTATTACAAGTCCCGTCGTACGTGCGGTATCGGAGCACCTTATAGTCGGTACAGTCGTAGGTCGGGAGTGAGGCATTACAGTTGGTGGCTCTATTTAGAATATCGAGATCAGAGGACGACATGTTCTGACCTCCCGTCAGAAACTGGATTCTCTCCAGGAGGTCTTCTAGGCGGAGTCGGGCGGAGCCTTGCTGGAGGGCCTCGGGCGTGGCATGGTAGAGGAGGCGGCGAATGACAGCCATTACTCCGAGGTGGTCGACGGCAGGTGGGGGAGTGGAGGAGGAGGAGGAGTTTGTATTGTCGCGATGGGAGAGAGCTATCAGTAGAGCCAGATGGGGAGACAGAGCTGGGGGAGGGAGTTGGGGGGGAGAGGAGGCGAGAGAAAATGAGGGGGAGAGATAGAGGAGCTTATAATAGCAAAGTTTCTGAAGATGCAAAGACGAAGGCGTAAAATGCTAATGGAAGGAGGTAGCAATTACTGCAGCAAATGCAGTTATGAATACAAACCCACAGGGAAAAGACACAATGGAGGCAAGAGAGAAAGAGTGTTTAAATGAAAGGGGATGAGGGTGTAAAGAGCAGAGAGAGCAGAGAGAGAACGAGAGTGTTGTGCGTGCAGGCTATGGTAAAACTCACCGTCAAAGCTTCCCGTGTCAGAACTTGGCCACGGTAGTACTATGGAAAAACGGTACAAGTCACTCACAAAACACTACTCCCTCTCCATTTTACTACTATTACACCCTCACCCTTGTACTTGTACATACATGTCATGCATACACATACATACATACATACATACATCTATATCATCCATATTGTCTACCATTATTACAGAGCGCACTGGGCGATTAACGACTTTAACCCATCCCTTGTTGGGAACTAATAAACTCTAAAGAAGTAAACATCCAACGCTGTGAGCCAAACAAACACACCCTATCGCCACAAATTGCATGTCTACCTTTGCGACGCCTCACATATGGCCCAGTGCCTTGTACGGCTGGGCAAGGACGTGCTACGTTGGACATGCCAAGGTCAAAAGAGCATACTGAGAGTAATTGTGTCCCCCTGCCAGGTTAGTTGACGTAGGGAGTAGGGCGCGAAAACCAGGCGTGGGCAAACACAATGGCTTGGAAAGACGTAGCAATTGGTGCCTTTCGGTGAATGAATGGTGTCTACCATAGCCGGAAGTTAATAACAATATATTGACACTCTCTGTGTAGAAAGTTTGGCGAAGGCGCTGTAAAGAATATGTGCCAATGGAAGTACACAAATTGAATGTGGCATACAAATTGGCTCTCTTTGGGCACTTATTATCCCATGTCCTACAACACAGGGCGATAAAAAAGAGATAGTGTGTACATGAGAGAGAGCTAACAGCGAGTGGCATATTACCTGGTACATATAGAGAACAGCAGTGCATAATAGGGTGAAGAGCTTTTCAAAGGAAAGGGCACACAAACTTTGTACTTAGGAGCAAAAGGACACTTGAGACACTCTTGGTGTATATATACGCTCTTAGACCTTGCTGTTTCTATGAGCTTATTTGAGCCCAGAAAGGAAGATTGTAGCTATGAACAGCGAAGCAGAGGGTGTTCTGTTGTAGAGTGGTTACCCTGGGAGACCAGTTGCTATGAGAGCTGGGGGAGAGAGGGACAGGCAGTTGCTACAGGAATGGAGCAAGGTTTTCACAGCTGCCCACATTTCTTGGCCTCAACGAGATTCAGGGACCAGCCTATGATGACTGTCAACACTCCTCTTCTCCCAGACCACTCCTCTTGTCACAGACCACTAGTAAAGGGCTAGACTTGAAGCCCTGGAATGAGGACACCTGTGACAAGGCCACCCTCAGGGACATGCCTCTGCATGCCTCTGAAATAAAGTCACATCTGTATGGACACTTTCTTTGGTCGCATTGGTGTCCGGATTAAAACTGTACAGTCCGCACGTTGCCTTTCAACAACTTTGGCGTCTTAGAGGTTGTGTTGGTTTGGTATATACAATCATGCACGGCTGTTGAGTCGAGCAAACCCACATCAGATATCCATGCTTTACTTCACCAATTTACTACTCCAAGAGCATGACATAATAATATTTCAGGTAGGATGGTACACTTCAAGGTGCATTGTCACCACCAACATGCTGCGGTGTCGACATATTCATACCTTTCAAGTCCGTGTGAGCACTGCTTTCGCCGGCTCTGTTGCGAGCTCTGACGGAGTAGCGGCCGTGATCTCCCGAGTGAACCTCGGTGAAGGTTATTCTGTCCAACTCGACCCTCACCCTCTCCCCGTCTCCCTGAAACAGCATCCCGTCCTTCATCCAGAGGTAGGTCGGCTGCCGTCCTCGGTGCAGGGCGCCGGAGAATGCCATGTCAATCTCGAACGGTCGACCGGCGACAGCCACATGTAGTCTCGGAGGGGAGAATTGTGGGGGAGCTGTCGCGGGGAGAGAGAAAGATGCTTGTCACAATTGTACACACAATATAATCAGACACTACTAGTCATAGTGGCACCCCTTTATCTAGTACATCTAGTTCTTCGTAATAGTTGTTTTGGTGTGTGTACATTGGGCCATGAATAATCTCCCAATGCTGAAATGATTTTTGACGTTGGTGATGTTAAAACAATGGGTTTTTATCTCTTCATCTCATATGTACACAATGCAATCAGATCCAAATACTTCTAGTCGTAGTGGTGCCCCTGTAAAGATTACCAACTAGCGTTCTCACGCACCTTCCTTAACGCCCTCCCTCCTCTTCCTCGAAAAAAACCAGACACTTGTCACCCGCCTACACAATTCAATTTGTGTGGAGCAAAACAATTGATTTATCTCTCCATCTACGAATAATTCGCAGAAATTCTGGTTCCAATTGGAGAACCACCTTTTATGCGTACGACGATATTCCTTCAACACTGTCCTCTAATTTTATTTCTCTCCCATCCCTACTTCTGCATTATGGTAGAATTTTATTGGGTAACCTCATACTATATACATTACTTCCACGCTCAAACCATTGAGCATGGCGGCATATAGCACAATGAGGTTTGTTAACGACGCAAGTAGTGAGCGACTCACTGAGAGCTGCGATAGTTGCAAGAGGTGAAGGGAGGACACCGTAGTCCAGAGAGTGTATGCGACAGCCCAGTACCATCTCTCCATCCTCTGCCTCCAGCGGCCCCAGTCTCAGCGAGTGGTTGCCATTAAACAGTCGGACACGCTCCGAGACTCCAGCAACGGTGGTAATGTCCACCATGCCATCCAGAACCCAGACAACCCTACTGTGGGTGATGGTCGAGCGACAGTTCATGAACACGTGGCGACCGGGCAGGAGGGTGACGTCTCGCGGCGTCTCTCTCCATCCTGGACTGTTGCACCCCAGAGGCAGCTCGTAGTTTTCCTCTCCTACTCCTCCATCTTGGTCACTGCTGATCTGCTCTGAGGTGCCGCTGGCTGTACAGAAAAAAAAATTTGCAGTTTTTGTTATCTGCAGCTCTATTGTCAACGGAGGGAGGAGCCAAACAATTGCAAGCCAGCCGGGCCAACGCGTCACACAACAATTCTGCAAACCGCCAAGTTATCTTTGAAGGCGCAGCACACATTTTTGTTGCACACACCTGCACACGCCGTTTTCCGGCGCGACTATTCGTGTCGGTAGTGCTGTCCTTACATGCAGCTACACGACCAGCCGGTTGGGCACTGGAGGAATGCGCTGATATAGCTTATATACAGACTAGACACAATGTCCCATCTGGAGGGATGGTATCTAATGGCCGGGCATCATCAATGCAAGTAAAGGCTGAATGGTTAGTAAGTACGCTTACGGCCCAGTAAAACGAATCACTGAATGGTGCAAAATGAGAAAGTCTAGGTAACTAGCAAGCTGTAAGTACACTGCTATTTTCTAACTCACCGATGCTGCCACAGAGCAGAAGATAAATCGACACAAGAAGACACGGACGGCGGGGCAATAGCTCAGTCATCGATCAAGCTAGCTACTGATCTGATCGACTAAAAATAAGGTGTTGGCACACCATGCGGATCTCGTCCGCTTTTTATGCAGAGACCGAGTTGCACCCGCGCATGCGCAGAGCCCGCACTTCACGCACTCGCGAGCACTGCACTGCGCAGTGTGCATGAGCTAGGTGATAACGGTTATCTGCAGCTCATACAATGGCCGTCGGTAGCATGCCGCCGCCGCCGGGGCGAGAGATCGCATGATCGCACGCTTCTGGATTATCGCGGTTTGTACACCTGAGCGTGCGAAAGGACGCCCACCCACCGAAACTGCACCGCCGCTGGATCTCCCAGATATAATACTCAGCAATGTCTAGTCTTGATGTGTGTGTGTGTGTGAGTGTGTGTGTGTGAGTGTGTGTGTGTGTGTGTGTGTGTGTGAAGGAGCAACAGCAGCAGTAGCTCTATTATGCACATGAGATAATAATAAATGACTGTGCAATATCGATGGGTGTTTAGCCACGTTCAATCAATTCATTCTCTTTGGTTGATATCTTTCTTTCTCTGCGTGCTAGTGCGTCCCTCTGCTTGTGGCTGCAGTCATTGGACCGAGTCTACAGCGGTGGGTATGGCGTCTGTTGCACCCGTCACAGATTCTTGGAGGAGAGAGAAGGAGAGAGAAGGAGAGAGGGGAAAAGGTGAAAGTGAAACGAAATATATTTTGTGTGTGCCAAAAAACTCACTGGGCATGTTGGAAATAGCATTCATCAGCTTCACTCTGGGGCCCTGCGACATCAGAAGACCACACGTGTGATAAAAACTATATATTCTACAGTCATCTGTGCATGTTCTAAACAGCATGAACAACAGAGGAGCTGTCTGACACTAGAGGAGAGAGGAGAGTGGCGTACCACAGGGAGTTTGAGTCCACGCCATTCCTGGTCTGAGAGAGACGTCAGCTGTGGGAGACTCAACTTCCGGTCCTAGGAAAAGGAGGGGAGAGAAAGAGAGAGGGAAGGAGGCAGAAGGAAAGCAGGGAAGCGAATGTTTGGATGAGTCTTGTAAAGTCATTCACACAGCACACCCAGTGTATACACATGATTATTACCCGTTGCTAGGTCGTTGCTATGTTTATTTTAGCACAATAAATCAGCTACCCACCCAAGAGGGTGAGAAGGTGAGAATATCCACTGTGGTTAGGGTAAATAACTAAGGAATGGTGTGAATATCCACTGTGGTTAGGGTTGGGTATCAATGTTCTTATGTCGACGCTGACAGATCGAGGGAGGATCGAGGGAGCGAATGGCAGAGGCTTTCCGTTTGGAAGTCGAGGGTTGGGATTCTGAGACGTCGCTGCAAGGCTCCGCGTCCGAGAGTAGCGCTCCTGGGGACGGGCCGTCGGCATCGAAAAGGCGTAGGCACAAACTTGTTGCTGAGAGCCTCGCTCTTTGCATCATCTAAAAATTCAAACCTCTCTGTAGCTGCGGAAGTAGTGCACGTAGCCCTCTTCCTTGTCAGCGAGAGCCTACGCCTTTTCGATGCCGACGGCCCGTCCCCAGGAGCGCTACTCTCGGACGCGGAGTCTTGCAGCGACGTCTCAGAATCCCAACCCTCGACTTCCAAACGGAAAGCCTCTGCCATTCGCTCCCTCAATCGCTCCCTCGATCGACCAGTTAGCGTCGATCGTGTTTGCCTGGAGCGCGCGTACGATAACGGCACGTTATGCATGCGCAGGTTCACGCGCATCGCCTTATTTGGGTGGATGCGCCATTTTCGCGCGCGGTTTCACCACCAACGACCAATCAGCGGTAATAAACATTTTATTACACCTTTTGTCGTGGTGTTGCGGTTTATCCGCCCTCCCCCCTCGGGCGCTACGCGCCCTCGGGGAGTCGGGCGGATAAACCAGCAACACCACTCCAAAAGGTGTAATAACATATACATGGTTGGAAAATCAACACCCAAAAACTGCTATAAGTTAGGGATGGCTTCACTGGATGCCCATGACAACAACAGCTGGCCTGCATTCTTCAAGGGGACAACAAAAGATTCCTTTCCCCTACCTTGCAAAGTACGTAGGACGCAATGGGCTACAATATGTTGCATGAAGCAGGCGTAGAGTAATAAGGTGAAGCAAGAAAAAGTACAGGAATTCGAGGACAGCTGCATGTTGTGGTCTGATGATTCACTGTGACAACCCACTCACATTACTACTATATTATAATATAGGGAGAGGATAGGTGGGCGAGCAAATCTAGTACGAAGGCGGAGGTGAAATTACGCAGCCTGCAGTAAACAGAAACACACTCATGTTAAGCTGGACAGATGCACACACTAAATATTCTGTGAGCTCAGGTGAAGAAAGCTATCTGTGCCAGCACTTAAAAGTATTCATGCTCTTTATCTTTCCGCTACAATGCACACGCCCACGCACAAACCCTATGCATCAGTAGTACGGAAGTGTGTCCACTCACAAGACAAGTGCAAACACAAGGAAGCGAACCTGTAGGACGTGCAGGTGCTCCGCAATATCCAGACTCTTCATCAAATGCTGCAATTCTCCCTCTCCCTTCCCTCCCTCCTCCCCCTTCAACCCCTCTCCGTTATCCTTCCCTCCGCCACTTCCGACGCTCCAATCGACTCCCTTTGATGTTTTGCCGGGGGTCAGTTGAACTGTGGGGGTCACAACTGAAGAGGAGGAGGGAGGGGCCGGGGAAGGAAGGGCAGGCCAGTGGTCCACCGGTAGAGACTTGGAGGAGAAGGTTGAGAGATAGCTGTGGTTTCCTACCCTCCCTGTGGACTGGGGAGAGATAGGGGGAAGAAGTAGCAAGAGGGAGTGGAAGTAGGGAAAAGGAAAGAGAGAGAATGAGACAGTAACGTTGTCTGGCATGTCACAAACAGGCAAACATAATGGACACACACTTGATACCTCTGAACCCTTATTCAGAGGTTTATCTGTAATATTGTACCTACAAAGGACACCTCCATATAAGGAGTTTTGAGGTTCCACTATATTGACTTACAGATAGGATGGGAGGAGGAGCAGATGAAAACGGAGCCACACCTCCAGACGACGGCTTTGACCACACCTCCCCAATTCCGTGGGCCCTCCCCGAGGAAGAGGGCGGTGCAGTGGGCGGAGCCTGGATTGAGAAAGACTGAGAGAAGGGCTGTGTCGCGGCATTGGAGGGTAGCCCACTGCCGATCGCTCCATAGAGTGCTCCAGGAGTGGGGCTGTGGAAATCCCACGGCTCCCCTTGGAGCTTGTCCGGAGTCGAGGGCGGGGGTACAAAGGTCATGTGAGGGGGCGGAACTCCGTGATGGTGCTGCTGGTGAGGGTGGTGGAGGGTTGGGGGGCGACTGAGGAATGGGGAGGATCCACTGGGGGGCAGGAAGGAGTGAGGCTGGGGGAGGGGGAAAGAAAGAGGACGAGAAGGGGAGAAATGCACTGGTTGACCGGCTATGGAATCCTCCAATGTGGCCAAGTGCTCCATTGTGTACTGAGTTTTACCAACTACATATGTATCTGACCATCTCGACACACACGTCACAAACACACAGACAGTCAGAAGGGGAGAAATGCAACAGTTGACCGGCTACGGAGTACTCCAATGTAAACTTATGGCCAAGTGTTCCATTGTGCACTGGGTGTCCAGAGCCAATCACCATTGTTTTACCAACTATCTGACCATCTCGACACACACGTCACACAAACACACACGTCACAAATGCACAGACAGTCAGAGTCACGTAGAACATTGACTGAAGCAGTGAGGGTGCCTCAGTCTGCATTCTTCACTGCTACAGAGCCAGCACACCACCTGACTAGTCAACTAACCTACCACCTGCGTAGGTACAAAGTACACCAGAAGAAATGACGGCTGGCGCCTCATGTCCTGCAGGCAACCCTCAGAAATTGATTATTGAAGCCCTCGAGCAGCTTCTAGGATTGTAAGTATGGACGGCGAGAGCAGGAGTTCGCACGATTACTGGACTTCTTCCTAGAAGTTATTTAAAGCTGGCTATGGATGCACGAGGCATGCAAACCAGGAATGGAGCACATTATATACTTCTCACACACACTGAAACACCGAGTGGACAAAGGAGGGAGGAGGGAGGAGATGGTGTACCTGGACTCCAGACCAGGTGAGGTTCTGATGTTTGTGTCCGTGTCCCAGTAGGTGAGAGTTCTGAGAGTTGTACCTGCATTTTGTAGATAGATCTTAAAATGACACTTGCCACACACACTCTCTCTCTCTCTCTCTCACGTGTCGGGAGTTTAAAGAGGCCGACACACGTGTGACGTGGTGAAAGATTGGGAACTCCCCCGATGACCAGTAACAAAGAGCCTAGCACTGCACATGCATGTTACTGGACTTGTTGGATAGGTTTACATGCACCTGGCTGGCTGCATGCAGTGACGCCAACAAAGCCACCCACTCTCTTATAGCTTTAGTCCTGCCTACACCTGCCTCTCTTCCTTCATTTCCCAATCACAATCACAAACACACACACACACACACACACACACACACAGCTCACATAGAGTGTTGGTGGGACCACGGTGGGATGGGTGGGCGTGGCTCCAGGTCAGAGTCCAGACCCGGCAACACAGACGGCATTCCATACTGTTGCCCTGGATACCAGTGCATTCCATGGCCAGCTATAAAATATATAAAATATATCAAAACACTTGGGTGAGGCACTAGACTATACACGTGTGTATTATGTGCGTGTCACATGCACGTAATACGCACTCTCGAAACTCGACTCAAAGAATATCAAATTGGGGCATTGCACACTACAACCAGCCGGTGAGAGTGCAGAACAACTGTGAGCCGTATATTCATACGTTATGCCTGGTTTGCTAATGATGCTTGCACTCGCCATACACACATGGACCTTTAAAGTACAATTTGAAAGATGCTGGTGAACAATGCTGCAGGGTCACCAGAAGATTTCTATTCTGCACATGCGTCCCTGTTGTTGTAATAGCAGATCAGGCGATATCTTTAAAGTGACAGTAGCAGGTCACGCTACTTTTTTTTATTGGTCAGTGAATAGTAGTAAAAAGGTCAAAGATGATGTCCTTTAATCATAGTGCTACTATTCACTGACCAACTGTGACCTGTTTAAGTACTTCAGTAACGTGACAAAAAAGTTAGTTTTATTTATCGCAACTGCCATAGCCATGAATTACAGCATGATGGTGTGATGTTGAAGTTCAAATTCATCTGAAGATTCAATAGGATGAACGTTTGTGAAAGATGCTGGTGAACAATGCTGCAGGATTTCTATTTTGCACATGCGTCCCTGTTGCTGGTATATTTAAAGTTACAGTAGGAGTGGTACAACAGGTTGTCTTTAAATCATAGTGCTACTATTCATTGACCAATAAAAAAGTGGTGTGACCTGTCTAAGTACTTCGGTAACGTGACAACAAACTTAGTGCATCTGTCATAGCCATGAATTACAGCATGATGGTGTGATGTTGAAGTTATAAGAACTGGTTGCATTCTATTCAAATTCATATAATGTACTCTGAAGATTCGATAGGATCAACGTTTGTGCAGCCACTGACCACAGCTTCCCTGCTTCTCTAAACTACTATGACAACAGGTAAGATGATTAGGCAGTGTATCAATCCTCTGTGCACATTCACAGGGAAGATTTACATGCGTGTGTGTATCTGTCTTTCTGTTACCATGTTTACGCAACAGGAGGGTCAAAGTGATACTGCCCTACACTGGTCTTATTAACTCTCGCCTGTGTCCATGAGCAGCGAGGGTTATTGCAATTGGTCCTGTGTGTGTGTCTGTCTGTCTGTCTGTCTGTCTGTCTGTCTGTCTGTGCCATGTTTATCTTGGAAACCGTGACAGTTCTGAATGTGAAACGTGGACATCATGGCTATGCTCGGTAAAATCAGCTTCTCATAGAAGATGGCCACTCTTGTGCCCAGACCCTCACCACACAAAGAGGGTCTGGTGTATAACGTCTGATTTCTTGGTTGTGACGAATCGGCACGTACGGCTTGTGAACAAGCAAATATGCTAATGAGCATCGTCTTACACACGAAGGAGTACTTCATAATACGCAATGTATTTGTGTGCACCCAACGCAAACTGCCCATATCGTTTAGAGTGTCTTTTGTATTGCAGATCCTCGTAATGCAGATCCTCAGCCTGAACAGCCAGTGGGAGTTATGCCTAACATAGCCTTTCCATACAGCATTGTTTGCAAGACGTCTGGAGAAATTATCATTAGCGAATGTGGAGATCATAAGGTATCTATTTTTGGAGATATTACCATCAGTGAATCTGGTGATAGTAATGTATCTATTTTTCGTCCTAAATGGGTAAAACCTTTTGGACACTGGGGCGATTCTCCCGGACAAATGAGATATCCGAGAGGAGTAGCAATTGATGACCATGAGAATATATATATTAGCAGCCAACACAAGCTGCAGAAGTTTACTAAGAATGGTTTCTTCATTAAATGTGTTGGTACAAAGGCAAGGGGAGAGGGAATTTTATTTTCACGGGGGAGTAACGATTTACCAAAGTCAGATTTATGTGTGCGATAGCTCTAATAATCGCATTCAAGTGCTCGATCTTGACTTACAATTTGACCACTCTATTGAATTAAGTGGAGATCCTTACGATATCAAATTTGACTCGGTTGGAAATATGTACGTAGCTGAGTTTAAAAGTAAAAGAATCGAAATATTGGACAGTGATGGCCGACGTAAGAGCGTATTTGGTAACGAAGGGGAGACAAAGCTGGATGGACCAACAGGTCTACACGTTGCCGATAATTATGTTTATGTTAGTGATCACAGAGCCGATCGCATTGCTGTGTATAACACCTCGGGTGATTTTCTCACTAAATTCGGAAAACGTGGCAAAAAATTAGGGCAACTGTATGGTCCATATGGTATTGTCGTTCATGATGGGAAAATGTTTATTTGTGACAGTTGGAACCACAGAGTTCAGGTATTTACGGTGGAAACCGTTCTGAATGGAATTGAATAAACCTCGTATTACTACCCGATATATGTGTTATGATTAGCTGGTAGCTTTTGTATATTATACAGAATATAATATTATTATAGTGCTTGGTGCTTGTCATGTGACCTTCAGCCAATCAGATCTCAGTACGCACCCACGCGTGAAAACGTGTCTACTAAATCTCGTAGTAACTCGTATCATGTTTACTAAGTGCCCGCGGCGCCGTTTCCTCGTGCAACCCGCACACGCATCAATTGGAATGCGTACTAATTGAGTTAGGCATCTCATCTGTTGAAATCTACGTGCTATATCGAACCCCACGCGACAATGCTCGTACAGTTTTACTGGAGTGGACGTGATAGTACACGTTGCAACAAGTCAACTTGTACACGATACGTCAGAGATGCCTAACACGAAGAATGCAATTAAACCTGCTTAATATGGATGCCTCTGGAAGCAGCTGTAATATCCCCCCTATCGCTAACATGTACATATACAGCTACACGCATGCAGGAAAAGGCACTTGCTGAACCGGCGTCTGTTACGGTCAAAGTTGTGGTATACTGTGGACCTTGTGGTTCCAAATGTATTGCAGAGTACTCACAGTAGGAGGTCAGTCTCTGAGGTGGTCTTTGGAAGGCCACTGAGGATGGAAACAAATAAGGGGAAGCTTAGGGAAAGATAAAAAGGAGGGGAACAACAGACATTATATTTACATGGTAACTGCACGTTTAAGCTGGAAAGAAGAGACAAGAGTACGGTACCAGTGGTGGAAGGCACACTGCTCCTCCGGTGAGATGGAGGACCAATGATACCGACACAGCGAGGGGGAAGAGGGTACGAGGATGACGAGGTCATCTCTGTTGGGGCCGGAGGGAAGTGCTGCAGTGACAGGGAAGAGAGCGTTTTGAAGACACAATCAGTACTAGACTAAGAGTGGCTTTGCCTGTGCCATGAACGATGTTTAAAAGGAGTTGATATCACTTTTGTTGTGCAAAGCGCTGTACGGTGTTAAAACCAAACAGGAACACAACTGCATCACACTTCACTCCACATAAAGTGTGGGTGTACGGTTGTTCCACCAGTGTGTGAAAATACAATAAAATGTTTCCAAGTTGACTGAGTTGCTGAGATCAATGGGCGGGTTGTGCAAATGCACGCAACTACACATGGAAATAGAACAAACGATGGTGAGCACTAAATGGAAGGAAACGGACCACTTTTTGACTCGTATTGGTGGGTTTAACACAGTTTCCGTTCAGCAGAACTTGTACTACAGTCTCTATAGCTACAGTAAGACAGTACCTGTGTAGGCTGAATGATTGCCACACTGCGATGAGGCCTCGTTGACGGCAGGACAGTGGGTGTGGTCATGGGTGTGGCAGTGGGCGGGGCTGACATTGGTACAGTCGGCAGGACTGACGACACAGCTGGATTAGGAGACTCCACCTCTTTTCCATCTGACTGAGACTCGGTACCTCTTTCCTTCCCCACCCCAGCTGAGGTGGGTGTGGCCGACCTTTTGACCTCTCCCAGCAGCTTCACCGGAGAGGAGAGAGATCTCTTTATCTCCGATTTATTGGGTGTGGGTGACCCTTTGACCTCTGCTGTCGGCAATACCGGAGGAGACATTAACCTCTTCACATCACCAGACGATTCAGAGTTGGCAGGGGGCGTGGTCGACCTTTTGACCTCCGAGAGGGGAGCGACGGGTTCCGTGGGGACGTACCTACTGGACTCGGAGACGGTGGAGAGGGGAGGGAGTGTGGGAGAGATTTTGTGAGTGGGGAGGGGGGCCACCACGGCAGGGGAGGAAGTGGAGGAGGAGAGGAGGTGACGAGTGGGAGTGGGGAAGAGGGGAGGAGGTGCCGAGAGAGGGGTGGAGGGGTCCGGCACCGCCTGAAGCGACGGCCGGCGGGTTGCTGTGGTGACAACGGGGGTCGGGAGCGTCACCTCGCTCTGTCGTTTGCGGAGGCGTGCGGGGTGCGTGGAGGAGGAGAAGATGGAGGACTCTCCTTCTCTGTCGGGGGTACTCAAGGCCTCCATGATCAGCTCCTGGGCCTTGGACACCGAGTGCTGTGTCCCCTACAAGGAGAGGAGAGAGAGACAGAAAGTTTGTGAATAGGTTATACACGGGGATGCCGAAGAAAGATGTTTATCGCAAATGAAACTAATTCTGGTGAGGAAACTCAAGTGTGTACAACATGTATATACTCACTAGTATAATGGCATAGTAAAATGTAATTCAGACAGTCGTATGTTGGCTAGCTTTGCCCAGTTAGTGGGTTACTTTCAAAACTGCGGCTGAAGTGAGGAGTCAACGTGAGCGTAATGATGGAGATATACCTCACTACAATGGACACGTAAACTTTGGTCAGTGATAGGAATCTAGTGGCCAGCACAGATGTCAGCCACTGACCAATTGATTTCTCAAATTTACCACAGCAGGGCCCTCACTCCCTACCAGCTAAATTTCATGTGCATAAACAGGGACTTCTCTTTCTTTTATTAGGCAGGTGCTGTTTTAGCTCCCATGTAGCATAGAGACACAAAACGAAATGGACACGTGATAGAGATTGCCTAGCGCAAAGGGCGACTATACAATCCAACAATAGCAACGAGAATCTCCACTCAGTGTGCCGGTGTTCTGCTACGTGTAGTAGTCTTCAGGGTTGCACATGATTCAAGATTTCTTCTGGGGACTTTCTCTCATTGGCAAGAGAAGTGAGCCTATATACATGTAACAATAGACCATGTGATGCCAATGTACAGCTAGTTGTTTCAATGGTTTTTTCCATGCATACATCAGAATACACATACCCTAATACTGTACTTTACGTGATTCTAAATACACGCACATGCAATTTTTTTGCTTTCGCTCGCCAAAGGGTCTGCACTACAACCACATCTCACCACATCCAATACACACAGACCTTGATGGTGACTAGTCTCTCGGCACTCTTGGGGATGTTTCTGGAGACCGTGATGTGGGCCCCGGAGATCTCTTGGATACGATTGATCTTGGCTCCACTCCGCCCTATGACTCGACCCACCAGCGAATTGGACACCGTCATCTGCAGCGTTCTGAGGGGACGAGGGAGGGAGGGAGGGAGGGGGGTTAAACATGTTTTTCCAGTGAGTCTTTTCAAAAGAGGATTGTAAACACTGCACCACAAATACACTTTCAGTTGTGTGACGTGATTACCAAGATTACAACTTAATTAAATGACAGTTTGAGGGGCGAAAGTCGGTCGTTGAGATTCACACTGCACACCTACACATACTAGTTGGAATAATGCATATTCCCCTCACTGTTCATATTATGTTTGTGAGAAGTAAGCCTCATTTCCTAGTCAGTCACTCTCACACACTTTCTCCTGTGAGCGCTACGCTCCAAGCATTCTCCTCACTAATGAATGGCTGTCACATTCCACTAGGAACTGACTGTCTACTAACGTATGTAGTAGCTACAGGGAAGAGACTACTGGCAGGTCAAGCTGTAGACATGTGTTAAGGTCTGCAAGGAAAATACTTGACGTAGTGTTCCCAGCAGAAATAAACGCATCAGTAGTAATGTATACGACTGTTGGAGGGACTGACTAGGAAATGTGGTATGGTTCTCAGAGGAAACAAGCATATGGACAGTAGCAAACTGTGGCGTATTGCTGTAACTAAACCTCAATCGATAGATTAGTTACTAAAACCATTACACATGGTGAGTGTGGTTAGTTGTGAGAGTGGTAAGGGGTGTACATACATGTTGTGAGTGCATACCTGGTGGTTCTGGTGACGGCGTGCCAGGCTGGGGAGGAGGTGATGGGAGGAGGGGGTGGGGGCAGCGGAGACGAGGTGCTGGGCGGGGCTAAACTGAGGGGTGTGGCCTCTGTCGTCGCTGCCCGTAGCTTCTGGGACCCTGAGGTGATACATTATACACACACCACATAGTGTGATCATTGGATGGTCTCTTTCATACTGTGTGAAGAATTGCAAAGATGTACTCCTAATGAAATTCCCATTCTACTGTGGCGAAGTCTTGACAGAGACCATTGAACTTTATACTATGTACACACACTTTTGTTCTATACAAACTTCAACTTCATAATTTCACATCATATGAATGCCGATATGATACTGAAGTAGAATGGACAATACACAGAGGGCCCACTCACTGATCTTGTCGTCGTCAGTGCTGCATCGAGAGAGGGCCTGGAGATGTTCCAGTTCCATCTCGTCAGTCGGCCAATCACCCAGGGACTCCTGAGACGAACTCCACATCTCCTCCCCTCCTCCCCCCACCTCCACCTTCTCACCTCCTCCGCTCTACACCGTTTCACACAGTCACCAACAGATAATCATTGCAGTGAAGGTTCTACATATATGCCTTCATGGCGGGCTAAACCTAATAATAACAAGGGCCCTAACACCTGATTTTAGGTAAAATGTTTCCTACATATGAACTTTTCGCGACACAAAAAGTTGAAGGCGTGTGTGACTGCTGTGGATATCTGTGGAAGATATTTGATACCATAACCTGAACTGAACTCTACTGCTCAGGAACATTTTGCAATCTTCTCTCCAGAGACCCACATACTGTACTAATCGCAGGGTTCCCCCCTCTGACCTGTTGGTGGGAGGTTCCCTGAGCTGCCACCACAGCCCACTCCCTCGTTGCCTGCGTCTTCCGCCCGCTGTTGACCGACCCTCCCTCGGTTTTGGCCCCTCTCTTCCTCCTCCCTCCCCCACCGTCATTCCTCGTTGCCTTCTCGTGGCCCCTCGTGGTCTCCCCGTGGCCCCTAGTGGTCTTCTCCGGTCCTCTAGTGGTCTCTGGGTTGGTTGTGGTTCTAGTGGTCTTGTTTTCGTTACCTCGCGTGGCCTTCTCGTGGCCCCTGGTGGCTTCTTCGTGACCTCTGACCTCCCTCTCGTGAGGTTTCGTGGTCTCGTGTTGGGAGAGTGAGGTGGAGGAGGAGGGAAGGGAGGGAGAGGGGGCAGAGGGAGGAGAAGGCGAGAAGGGGTCACTGGCTGAAGACTCCTCCCTTGAGGGACTTGGCTCTGTGACAACAGACAGAACAGACAAGAGGCTGATAATACATCATAGCAAGACCCCACCCACTGCTTTAGGAAAATGTAATGTGCTAAAAACTCCATCTCTGGAATAGAACACGTTTTTCGCACATTATTATATACACAATAGCAGCTGCTCATACACTCCGCATCTTTTCTCTCTTGGCATCACATGGTCTATAATACCTTCATGTATGTATAAAAGCCAGTTTGCCAACTTTTGCCCGCAGTTTTCACTCTGACGGTGACAAGTCCAGTATTGTACCTGGTAGTTCAGAGTGGGCGTCATGAAACTCCAGGTCGTCCCCTGACTCCTCCTCCCCATCCTCCCTCGCCCCCTCCCCTCTCCCCAAAGTCCCCCCGTCCTCCTCGTCTGCCCCACCCACCGGCCGCGGACGCTGCCTCCGACGCTTCTTGCGCTTCGACCTCCGCTGCTGCTTCGGGCTGGAGGGCGTGGCAGTGGTGTCGGTAGTGATGGTAACGGGGGAGGGTGTAGTCTCGGGCGGAGGAGAGGGCGGGGTTGGCATTTCCTCTTCTGTCGGAAGAGGCTGTTCTTCCTCGCACTCAACCACCTGCTCAGAAAGGGAGGAGAGGGAGGGAGAGAGGAGAGGGAGAAGTAAAAAAGAAAAGGAGAGAGGGGGAAGGAAGAGGACATTGTACATACAATACGTGGATCATGTGATCCCATGGTCGTGTTTTCCTATCCCAGTCGTACAAGCACGAAATAAAGTGTGCACTAATTAGAATTTGCTGTAGGAAAAGCGAGCATTGGTACAGCCTCGGGTTGTTCTCACTACAATACGGCGGAATGAGTCGTTAGACTTTTACCAGGCAGATTTTGTGGACTCAATCCTCATCAACGATGCGTGCAATTGTTTTTATTTTCAGGTGTGGAAGTACAACAATGTATGTGCTGCAGCTAACACACACTTCTAGGCCAGTGTTTTCGAACACTCCTGAAAGATGCTGAGGGAAGGATGCTGAAGGAAGGACTGCCACACTGGCAAGGCAAATCTAACACTAGTAAGTGTCAGCATGTAAACAACACCTGTCCCTACATGTACCACAGATCATTAAATTTCATCACTAGCCATGTTTACAGCCTCACCACAGATCATTAAATTTCATCACTAGCCATGTTTACAGCCTAAATGTAGTACCCAATAGACCACAGGGTTGCTTGGTGAGGGATGTAATTGTCTGAATAAACAGCAGGCTAAGTAACCATGAGCACTGCATGCACTTGCAGCTGCTACACTATTGAGGCAGGTGTCAACAACACAACACTTGCTCTCTGACTGGAAAAACATTACCCACACACCACAGATCATTTGGAAGGACATGCACGTTTACATACACACAATGTACGCTACCAAAAATATTGGTGGTCACAAAATGACGCATTTTCAACCGGCGGAAAATGTATGGAGGTCATTTGTGACAGTACCATAAATTTAGAAATGTTAACGGAACTAAGAAATAGAGCCCAAGTGAGAGAATGGAGCCGTCTTAGTAAGAGTTTCCACATTTAGCCCTTACAATTGTATACTGCCACATTCCGCTTGAAAAATTTGGTGGATTGAAATTTGGGGGCGTGGCTGTCAAAATTAAAAGCTGGACCTCTAATTCCTGTCTCCCGGCAGTGACCTCCTTGCGTCTCCTCTCCTTCCGTCGGCTCCTCCTCTTTGCCGCGGCCTTCTTCCTGCTCTCCTGTCTCTCTCTCTCGGCGTCCAACTCCTCGCAGAGACTCTGGGCGTTTCTCAGGGCCGCCTGCTCCCTCGCCTTCTTGGCCTGGAGAGGGGAACAGAACGGAGGGAGAGAAGATAGAGAGAAAAGGGAAAATGACTGAAGGAGATGGGGAAACATGTAAGCAAATATGCACCCACAAAAGAAAAGGGGTCTACCAAAGTAAAAGCTATATAAAATGGCTCTACTCAAGTCTATATAATGAGACTTTCACAGATATCAAGAGATATACATACATACATAGAAAGGACAGAAGACTGGTCTACAGTAGAATATATCTTTACAGACCTTGGAGATCATCTCGAGGCAGCGAGCTCGGCGAGGAGTGAGGTCTGTGGCCGGAGGGGAGGGGGCCAGCAGGGCCTTCTGGCAGTCCTGCTCGGAGGGGAGGTGGGCCACGTGACCCAGGAGCCAGTCCACCAGCTCCACGTGCCCGTTCCTGAAGGCTGCCAGGAGAGCCGTCTGGCTTCTGTGGTCACAGGCCTGTGTAGTACATAGTACAACAGTACATATAGTGCAGTGCATGTTGTACAATGGAAGCATCCCACATTCTGACGACTGGACATGCTCGCTTTGCTGATCAAACGGAACAGCAGACAAAAAAAACCACAAAGAAGGTAGTGTTGATCCAATAGTGTGCAAAGAGCATGTACAATACAACAACTGTATCCTCAAACACCCCAATATCGCATTGTGATAAAATGCTCTGCAAAAGTCAATCACTTTAACAACTTTATGCAAAAAAAACACAGGCTTCACCTCCTTCCCTCCCCACCCCCACCAACCTCAGTATCGGCGCCATGTTTAGCCAACATGACGGCAATATCGGTGTAACCCTCGCGACAAGCCAGGAAGAACGGAGTGCAGCCTTTCTTTGTCCGGCACTCGATGTTGGCGTTGCGAGACACGAGGAGCTGAGCCAACTCGAAGAACCCCTTCTCTGCCGCCAGTGTGATGGGGCACTCTCTGATGGACACAGGAGGGGGAAGATGGAACAGGAGAGAAAATGAAACGAATGGTACTACCAAACAAATAGTAGAACGACGCATTACTGGGGATTGAAGAGAGAAGTTCAATTTCTGGCGCGAAACATGTATAACATTACAGTACAATGTGCAGTGCAGCAGTGTAGGTTGAAACATACATAGACATTCAGACAACTAGGTGGGATTGCTTCGCTTGGCACTCAAGGGGGGGAGAGAATGGATGGGGGGGCGAGGGGGGCGAGAATGGATACACACACCAGGCAACACATCGCGATATTTCAACTTCTGCGGTTGCTGTTCTAACACTGACATTTTACTTGCTAAGAGTGTTTTGCACTGTTGCATAGGGACATAATGCAGTAGTTAGCCTTCAGCAGTGTGTATAGGCCTCACCTGCTACTGGGGAAAGGTGTGGATGGGTTGCAGCCATAGTCGAGGAGTAGTTTGACCACCTCCACGTGGTTCTCTCTGCAGGCCTGATGGGGAGGAGGGGAGGGGAGGGGAGGGGGAGAGGGAGAAGGAGAAGGAGAAGAAGAGAAAGGAAGGATAAAGTGTACCATAAGCTTTCATGACAAAAAGAGATTTTGTGGATGTTATGAAATAGCGAAGGCGAATTGGCGCACAAGGCACACTAGCATTCATGACACACTCTCGTGATACAAGTTGCTATTGAGCAATTCACAAAACTTCAATTATACGAAACAAAAATAGCAGAGTCAGCGTACGAGGTGTGAAGATATGATTCCAGTGACACGTGGGCACAGAGAGACTATAGACAAACCACGTCTACAGAGACGGCGAACATGCAAAGGAGCATTTGTTTGCAGAGGCTCTTGGAGAAGAGCGCAGGAAAAACATCGCACCCACTGTGCAGCTCTTTGAAGTGGAATACACATCACACGTAAGATAAAGACGAAGAGCATTCACAACGTCCAGTGTTGATTTGAGCACCGCACATCGCAGCCAAGAGCGCTGAGAATGCCTACCCTTTACTCTATGGTATTGTACTCTGTCTCACTTTGAAGCACGTAAAAGAGGCAGTTATAATGGCACTAATGCATGCTTCTTCCTTTACTGTGAATCGCAAAGTCAATCCTCATAGTGTACTTAGAGATGTATACATACACACAATTGCAGTGCATTCTGTTCCTCCCTTCCTCTCCCTCTCTCTCCCTCTCCCTCCCTCCCTCCCTCCCTCTCTCTCTTCTTCTCCAGCCCACCTGGAAGAGAGGGGTGATCCCAGTCTTAGTCCGACAGTCTTTGTTGGCATCAAACTCCAGGAGAAGACCGGCCACGTCGCTGTGGCCCTTCCAGCAGGCCATGAAGAACGGACTCTGGCCGTAGTTGTCAGGTGTCTCTACGTCTGCCCCCATCTCCAGGAGCAGCTCTGCCACTGCCACGTGACCCTCCCTACAATCAGGAGGGGTTGAGCCTTAGTGTATGAGCTATAATTGGTGTGCATGCATAACGACTCTGAAACATTACAAAAATCCAGCAATTTGGCAACGTTTAGCAAAGAAGGTTAAAACTGCCCCAATTTTCCACTGCAACACACTACATGCACAACAAACCGTAACAACTTGGGAAACCAAAAGTTGGAATTTGGCTGGAGAGCAATATAAGGAAACAGCTATGCGACGCTTTTTGCATCATTCGTTAAGTAATTATTGCCCACGAGAGTAGAGAGAGAGAGAGAGTAGAGAGTAGAGAGAAGAGAGAGAGAGAGAGAGAGAGAGAGAGAGAGAGAGAGAGAGAGAGATAGAGAGAGAGGGGAAGAAGACATACCTGGTGGCCTCCATTAGCGGAGTGCAGCCAGTCTTGGTCTGGTGGTTAACGGAAGAGCCTCTCTCCTGAAGAAGCCTCACCACCTCCAGGTGGCCCTTCCAGCAGGCCAGGGTGAGCGGGGTGTCGTCATTAGAGCCACTGGGGGTGTTGATCTGGGCTCCCGAGTCTAGCAGGAGCTTGGTGGCCTCGTAGTGTCCCTCCCTGCCAGTGGAGGAAGGGTTAATTGAACACAGAGAGAGAAAGTAGTTAGAAATGGCAGAAAAGGTACGGGAAAGGTCAAAGGGTATTTGAATAGGTTTACTTGCTGTAAGACAAGACTAACACAGCTAATAATCAGTCCACACCCCGTGACGTATATGTTGTATATACAGTGCTGGTTTTACAATGAAGTGATGGTAAACTAATGTCCCACATCGTGCAACGTATGGAGGAGATGAGAGAGAGGAGATGAGGTGTGCATTCTCTGGATTCCTCGGCGACTGTGTATTGTGTATTGAACTGCGGGCAGCGACATCTGCACCTTGCCAATAACACCACCACCACTGGCATCTGACATGTTACAGACACTGTGCATCATACACCCTTCTCCTCTTTCCACTCCTCTACCCACAACACACACTCCCAGATTCTTCCCTGTCCTTACATACAAACACACACAAACCCTGTTTAAAACTCTCAGAAACTGCACAATCCTGAGTCTTTCAGGCACCACACGTTTCTCCTTATAAGTATGTATTAGCACCTAGTATTATGTCCCCCACATAATTGTTACATACCTATAGATGTTCCTTGTTTGTTAAGCGTTAAGGCATCAGTGGGTACTTAGCAACTTTCACTTACGTATATATATATATATACGTACTACCATAACCTCCCTCTCTCTCCTCTCACCCTCCTTCTAGTCCCCCCCTCCCCCAAACATACCTGGCAGCCAGCATGAGGGGAGTGCAGCCGGCCTTGTTCTGGTGTTCAATATTGGACGCGTGGTCGAGTAGCAGGGCCACAACATCTCTATGCCCCTTCCAGCAGGCCAGGGTGAGAGGTATGTTGTTCTCGCTGCCAGACGGAACGTTGACCTTGGCTCCTTCCTGTAGGAGGAGCTGAGCCACTGTCAAATGACCCTCCCTGCAGTGTGCGTGTGTGCGTGCATGCGTGCGAGGGGGAGTAACAATCATGTTCGCATGTAAGTCTTCTTGTATCACCAAATGTTCCGTAGCTACAGGCCCACTCACACTCAATGCATCATTACACTGTACAATGTGAGATAACAGCACACCTGTGCCCCAAAGCTTCATAGTCTGATTTCACCACAGACGTTTAATACCCACGGGTTAAAACTATTGCTTGCACCATCTTGCAGTAAGAGTGGAGGGTGGGACAGTGTATGTATGTATGTGTACCCACCGAGCAGCCAGCATGAGAGGCGTGCAGCCATCCTTGGTTCGATGTTCGATCTGCGAGCCATGCTGCAGCAGGAGAGACACGACGCGATGGTGGCCCTTCCAGCAGGCCGAGGTGAGGGGGATGTCATTGTTAGAGCCACTGGGGGTGTTGACTGCTGCTCCTGCTTTAAGCAGGAGCTCTGCTACCTGTGGAGATATGAAGGAGAGAGGGAGAGAAGGAGAGGGGGAGAGAAGGAGAGGGGGAGAGAAGGAGAGAGGGAGAGAAGGAGAGAGGGAGAGAAGGAGAGAGGGAGAGAAGGAGAGGGGAGAGAAGGAGAGGGGGAGAGAGAGGAGAGAAGGAGAGAGGGAGAGAAGGAGAGGGAGGGAGAGAAGGAGAGAGGGAGAGAAGGAGAGAGGGAGAGAAGGAGAGAGGGAGAGAGGAGGGGAGAGAAGGAGAGAGGGAGAGAGAAGGAGAGAGGGAGAGAAGGAGAGGGGGAGAGAAGGAGAGGAGGGGGAGAGAAAGGAGAGAGGGAAGAGGAGAGGGAGGAGAGAAGGAGAGAGGGGTGAGAGAAGGAGAGAGGGAGAGAAGGAGAGAGGGAGAGAAGGAGAGAGGGAGAGAAGGAGAGGGGAGAGAAGGAGAGAGGAGGAGAGGGAGAGAAGGAGAGGGGGAGAGAAGGAGAGAGGGAGAGAAGGAGAGGGAGAGAAGGAGAGAGGGAGAGAAGGAGAGGGGGAGAGAAGGAGAGAGGGGAGAGAAGGAGAGGGGAGAGAAGGAGAGAGGGAGAGAAGGAGAGGGGAGAGAAGGAGAGAGGGAGAGAAGGAGAGGGGAGGGTGTAATACCATCCATATTGAATAGGTGTGTTTTCCTTCCCCCTCCTCACTGCAAAGTGTGCCCTCAAACTTATCTTAATGGCGAGTTTTCTCTCTTCTCATACTACGTGTAAAGCAAGGCTTCATAGTGTTGCAGCTGGCAAATTAAGGAATGGCAAGCCCTGGCTATGGTGGTTTGGCCTTGACCCATGGAGGGTGCAGACCTGAACAAAAAGGTTGATACACAACTGCTACACTCACACTAACACAGGGAACATCATACAACCAACACCTTGTCATGTGACAGACACTGTCAAAGAAATACTCGAGCATGAAAAATCCAGTTAAGGGCAAAGAAAATACACTTTGATGTGAGTCTGTGACAGGATCTAGCATGACTAGAGGGTGTAAGCTACATTTTGAGTGTGTACTTAGCCTCTCCCTTCGTTACCACTCCCCTTCCTTGAACACAGCAATTACTCCTCCCTCTTCCCTCTAGCACCTCATTTACAACAAACCCTCCCTCCTCAGTGTTAATGTCTGTCCATACACATACCCCCAAACCCAACAGCTCTTTCCTCTTCCCTCTTTGAATGTGTGCACTTCCAATCCCTCACTCTTTCCCACTCCCTTCCCACAGAACTCAACACACACTGAATGTGCCTCTTAACCTCATGGACACCCTCCTCAAAAGTGTCCTCTCCCTCCCCCCTCCCTCCCCTCTCATTGTATGTCACACCTGAGTATGCCCTCCGAGAGCGGCAAACATGAGCGGCGAGAAACCCTCCTTTGTGCGGTGCTCCAAGTCTGCTTTCCGCCGTAGAAACAGCTCCACGACCTTCTGGTGGCCCTTCCAGCAGGCAAAGGTGAGAGGGCTGTCTTTGTTACTGTCCGACTCTACATTTATCTCCGCTCGGTGGTCCAACAGTAGCTTGGCCACCCTCTCGTGGCCGGCAAGTGCGGCAAACATGAGGGCCGTGCAGCCGTCTTTCGTCCGGTGTTCGACAGCGGCATTTCTCTCTAGAAGCAGCTCGACGACTTCGCTGTTGCCTAACGTACAGGCCCAGGTGAGCGCTGAGTCATAGGTGGTCTCCGTAGGGGCGTCTATGTCCGCACGGCGGTCTAGGAGAAGGCGCGCAATGCTAACGTGTCCCTGACTGCACGCCTCGAGAAGGGGCGTGTTCCCGGCCTTGTTCCTGTGGTTGACGTTCGCTCCGCTCTCCAGCAGCAGCTCCACGATGTCCTGCTTCCCCTGGCGACACGCCAGACTCAGCATCTCGTCCAGGCTCACCTCTGCCTCCCCCACCGAGCGAAACACGCTCTCGGGCGCCGCCTCACCCACCGGAAACGGAGTCTCCCCGTCCATCTTTCTTTCCCGCCGGTCGGCCCGGGATTCTGTGGATTGCGGCCACGGGGAAGTCTCGCGCGAGTCTTGCCAGAGTCCAGCAGTTCCCACTAGCCACTACCGTCTGCTGTCCACTGTAGCCAGCGGCTGTTCTACGGTGCCATATTCACGCACACACAATTCTCGCCGCGATTGAGTTCGCTTGACCTTTGTGAACTCTCATACGGAGCCACACGTGGAGGATCATGTGCACAACTTAGTTGTGTGCGCATGCGCAATACTATAGTGTGCACTGTAAAACGTGTGAAGCTCCATTGAGCAAAAATACATACATGCACAAATATTTTGCATAGTGCAGTCTATATAGCAGATAAACAGGCAAACTATGACACGATTTATTTATGGTGGAGAAGAGAGAATGGAGGAGAGGGTTAGTGGAGCTCTATTTCGTAGCAAGCTATCAGCAAAACCAGAAGCAAGACGTCTGATTGGCTGTTGCCGCAGTGATGGTAGTCGTGGCAGCTGGATATTGGAGCTCCCTCCTCCCCTCTTCCCATGAGTTCGTCAGCTTGTCGCCATGCCAACCATGGTGATTAGTTTGTTACTCGGGGGGAATGGACTGGAGGTACTGTTCGTACTTGCGGACCAGGTCACTTTTCTTCAGTGCCACCCACGTCCGTCTGGAGAAATCATACCTGCAGGGGAGTGGCGGAAGGGGCAGTAATAAAACATGTACATACCATGATACACCATGCACCTTCGTGTTGCAAGAGACTACATTCTCCATTCAAACTTCACAGATAAGCAAATCGTATAATTGCAGGAGATTCTCACTTCACTTCTCCACGCCATTTCTTCGTATTCCAAGTTTATGAGATCGATGTAATCAGGGCGCAAACTACTGTTTGTTGCCTGGCTATATACACATGGATTGGACCCACCATTCTTTCTCAGTGAACTGGGGCTGCGGTGTGGCTCTGAAAGAGGGGCGTGGCATGGCAAAGAGCTGGTTTCGGAGTGTCTCGGAGAGGAGCTGGTAGCTGGGGTGACCAGTGAACGACGGCAGGAGACACAGGAGGGGATTCAGACCAATGTCTGAGGATCATGGAGGGGAAGGAAGGGGGGAGGGGAGGGGAGGATGGAGAGGGGGAGGAAAGAGATAATGGGGTATAGGTAAAGAAAACCAAGGAAAGTATATACAACCAGGTAAATGTACAAGAGAGAGGAGCTAGAGGGGTGGAAGAGAGATGAGCTAGAGGGGTGGAAGAGAGATGAGCTAGAGGGGTGGAAGAGAGATGAGCTAGAGGGGTGGAAGAGAGATGAGCTAGAGGGGTGGAGGAGAGAGGAACTAGAGGGGTGGAAGAGAGAGGAGCCAGAGGGGTGGAAGAGAGATGAGCTAGAGGGGTGGAGGAGAGAGGAACTAGAGGGGTGGAAGAGAGAGGAGCCAGAGGGGTGGAAGAGAGAGGAGCCAGAGGGGTGGAAGAGAGAGGAGCTAGAGGGGTGGAAGAGAGATGAGCTAGAGGGGTGGAAGAGAGATGAGCTAGAGGGGTGGAAGAGAGATGAGCTAAGAGGGGTGGAGGATGAGATGAGCTAGAGGGGTGGAGGAGAGAGGAAACGAGAGGGGTGGAAGAGAGAGAGAGCCAGAGGGGTGGAAGAGAGATGAGCTAGAGGGGTGGAGGAGAGAGGAACTAGAGGGGTGGAAGAGAGAGGAGCCAGAGGGGTGGAAGAGAGAGGAGCAGAGGGGGTGGAAGAGATGAGGAGCTAGAGGGGTGGAAGAGAGAGGAGCTAGAGGGGTAAGGAGAGAGAGAGGAACTAGAGGGGTGGAAGAGAGAGGAGCAGAGGGGTGGAAGAGAGAGGAGTAGATAGCGGGGTGGAGGACGGAGAGGAACTAGAGGGGTGGAGAGAGATGAGGAGCGTAGAGGGGTGGAAGAGAGAGGAAACTAGAGGGGTGGAAGAGAGAGGAGCTAGAGGGGTGGAAGAGAGAGGAGCTAGAGGGGTGGAAGAGAGAGGAGCTAGAGGGGTGGAAGAGAGAGGAGCTAGAGGGGTGGAAGAGAGAGGAACTAGAGGGGTGGAAGAGAGAGGAGCTAGAGGGGTGGAAGAGAGAGGAGCTAGAGGGGTGGAAGAGAGAGGAACTAGAGTGGTGGAGGATATCATTTCTCGTCTGCACATTGTACTGTATATACTATTATTGTGAAAGTCGTCCTACATAAAATGGCAGAACCCATTTCCTCCCATGTCCCCCAGACTCACTCTTGCGTTCATATCTGGTGACACAAAATGTCGTTCCGTTGTCCGAGGAGCTGGAGTTGGTGGGCAATAAATGGAAGTTGACGGCGGCGGGATCGATGGCCTTCATGTGTGTGGAGTGGACAGGGAAACCTACCCCTTTCTGGACCAGTCCACTCCGCACCAGGGACACATTGCCTGCAGCACAAAGTAAGACCTTTGTTACACTTGTATCAATCTTCTTCCAGTTGCTACGTCACTTGAACTCTACTGTTCAACTACACAGTACCTAATGTATGTATGTATAGCTATGCAAATCAACCGCATTTTGACCTGTAAATTTTATAGTTGTAGAGCAAGATGCAGAGACCTACGCAGGTGTAAAAACAAGTACCCTTCAACTTCAGTTTTGTGTTTGCACTAAATAACAGGTTGCCAATAAACAAGCATTAACACTCTTTTGCGTAGCATTTTTTACTGCGCCCGGGGTGATACAGTTGTGGGCCCTCTGTCTAGCTAATGTTGTTCATGTGTAATACGTAGCAGTTAGAACCTTCAATACTTGTCCTGGTGCCAGTGAAGAGGTCAACCAACTGAGAGTGATGCTGTCTGAGACTCAGTGGCTGGAAGTCATGAGGACTGGCGTGGTTGAATACAAACACTGCCGGTGTGGGCAGTTGGGAGAGGAGAGAGAGAGAGAGAGAGAGTGTGTGTGCAGTGGCCACAAACCAAAGGGAAGCAGAGAGAACACTCACCTAGCTGTGGGAAGTACAAACTGCCATCCCTGCGTGTATTAAAAAGCAAAGTAATCTCACAATTCTTCGCGTGAGGGCCTGCTAGCGAGACTAGGTACAATGAAGAAGACAAACATGCCCACACACACATGCACGCACGCACGAACACACACACAAGCACATGTGAGGCCGAGCCATTGCACAAGGGTGGAAGCACTTCACTTCCAATTTAGTCGTTGTGTATTACATACGCCGAGAGCCTCTTACAGTCATGCTAACCCTGGGCTGCTGTCCATGTCACGAAGAACAAACACAACTGCAGGCTCAACCATTAGTATAGCACACACAAGGTGTACTATGTTGGGAGCCTAATTAATGCTCACCCTGGGCTGCTGTCCATATCACGAAGAACAAACACAATTGCAGGCTCAACCATTAGTATAGCACACACAAGGTGTACTATGTTGGGAGCCTAATTAATGCTCACCCTGGGCTGCTGTCCATGTCACGAAGAACAAACACAATTGCAGGCTCAACCATTAGTATAGCACACACAAGGTGTACTATGTTGGGAGCCTAATTAATGCTAACCCTGGGCTGCTGTCCATGTCACGAAGAACAAACACAATTGCAGGCTCAACCATTAGTATAGCACACACAAGGTGTACTATGTTGGGAGCCTAATTAATGCTCCCCCTGGGCTGCTGTCCATGTCACGAAGAACAAACACAATTGCAGGCTCAACTATTAGTATAGCACACACAAGGTGTACTATGTTGGGAGCCTAATTAATGCTAACCCTGGGCTGCTGTCCATATCACGAAGAACAAACAAAACTGCAGGCTCAACCATTAGTATAGCACACACAAGGTGTACTATGTTGGGAGCCTAATTAATGCTCACCCTGGGCTGCTGTCCATGTCACGAAGAACAAACACAACTGCAGGCTCAACCATTAGTATAGCACACACAAGGTGTACTATGTTGGGAGCCTAATTAATGCTCACCCTGGGCTGCTGTCACACAAGGGTTGAACCAACTTAGTTCATTGAGTATGTTTGGAGTCTAATTAATGCTCACCCTGGGCTGCTGTCCATATCGTGAGGGATACAGGCCACTTTCATCTGCTCCACTGTTCTAAGAAACCTGTAAACAACATACAACATTACATAATGGTGAATACTGGTGAATGAGGGGAGAGTTGTGAGAAGGGCGAGAGGATAGGAAGGTAGCAGGGAAAGAGGGACGAGAAAGAGAAGGGGAGTAGAAGGGGAGAAAGGAGGGAGAGAGGAGAAGGTGGCCGACTTGAAGATGGGGTCCTGGTGATCCATGGAGTCCACGACAACTACCACCACGTGACACACTGTGTACAGGAACATAGCCACCTGCAGACTCTGGAGAAGGGGGAGAGGATGAAAAGAGAAGGAATAACTGAGACTAAATTTCTTCTAGGGAATGAAGTGGGTCATAGAGACGAACTTTGGAACAACTCTAAGCGATGTGTGTATGCATACGTTGTATTTTCAAACGCGGCAGAGTTGTACACGAAATCATGAAACTCAACTAATTCGCTAACAAAGAGGCAGAAAGAGGAGCTTCTTGTGAAGAAGGTGGTGTGATAGACTGGCTGGTACATATAGAGGTGTGTGTGGAGGGAGTGGCTCACCAGTATCTCCAGGTACATGTCGGGGGAGAGGGTGGAGGGGATGAGAGAGGGATTGTCAGAGAACTGGGCCAGCATGGCGTCACTCAGCACCGGCTGCAGATACACACAGAGAAGAGGAGGGGAGGGAGGAAAACCGATAGTACGCGTGTCACATTCAACAAATCTGGGAACACAAACTCACACACAACTGGCTCATCATGTGATGCAAATGTGGAATGCTAAGTTTTGTAAGGTCAACCCACATACAATATTATTCGTAAAAACATGTGAGTAATGGGGAAGGCCCGGCTTCAAAGTCAAATTCTCGACCTGTAATGGAATATGACCATCCCCCTCCCTCCCTCCCCACCAACCTGTGTGTCTAGGAGTATGACTCTCTCGGGAGTGACGGCCATGTCCAGCCCGGTGGTTTGGTAACTCTCGCTCTCCCACACCTCCTTGGTCTCCGGACGGAACATGGCCGGCTTCCCGGAGCCGGTGCGGCTCCCCGCGAGGAGAGACATGACACTAGACTTCCCGACTCCCTGCCTCCCGATCGCCCCCACCACCAGGAAATCGCTCTGCTCCATTAGGTACTGAGGAAGAAGGACAACAGGGAGAGGGAGGTGAAACTGCGTTCGACTACGTACAGCAACCATGACACTCTGGAGCACTGTGTGGAGATAGGACTGAAGTACATATAAGCGTCATTTTCACCTTTGGAAACACAACATGCAAGTTGTAACGCGACCAGTGAAAAAACTTGGGCCAACAAACGATTTCAACAGCTCTCTATGGCATGCTTTCAAATCAGGTATGTATACATGGGGAGGGGGAGGGAAAAAACAGAGGGAGGGAGGGGGAGGGAGAATACAGAGGGAGGGAGGGGGAGGGAGAATACAGAGGGAGGGGGAGGGAGAATACAGAGGGAGAATGGGTAAAGAGGTGAGGTTCAAATCATAGGGCCCTTGTAAAAACAGAAAGCCACTAAACTTTCTTCACAGCATTGGTATCCATTCCAGATATCATATCACATACAAGGACACACACACACACACACACACACACTCAGGTTCATGATGATGTTATGATCAGGCATGCGTGCATACGCTGTACAGAATTCCATCCACAGTCGCTAGTGGACACAGACATGACCGCAATTGGCACGGGAACAGCTCTAGCGGATTGCTGTTGTTTGTGGGCCCTGAGAGAGGGGCATTACAATCTAGACATTCTCTCCCTACTTGGTGCTTCCCTGTTCCTTTCCCTTATTTTCCTCTCCCTAACCCTCCTTCTTCCCAGTTCTCTTTACTTACACACACACACACACACACCTCCAGTCCCTTGTCCTCCCAGTGCATGTTCTTGTCCACCAGTTTGACTGCATGCAGCATCTCGTGTGTCTGGCTCCATGGATCTCTGGCCACAGCCGACACCGGGGACGGGAGGATGTCCCCGCCCCCTCTGTCCCGCAGACCCCGCCCACCTCCACCTGTGGGCTGCAGGGGAACAAAACTGCTGGGGGTGGAGCCTTGCCCGTCTGACCTCCCTCTCTGGGGTCGACCCTGCGATTACAGTGTGTGTGTATTAGAGAGAGAGAGACAGAGAGACTCGTCAGTAAACACTACCTGGGTACACATTGACTACGAAATAGGCCACAAAGGTTTGGCAAACCAGCCACTGGACTAAACCAAGCCTCGAAAATCCAGGACACACAACCTAAAGGGGAATTCCAAACATGACCTGCATACTACGCAGGAAAGCAAGTTGCACATGTGTTTCACCTATCAAACCGAGCTATACAATCCATCCCCTTCACTATCGAAAGGTTTAGGAGAAGAATAATAACGAAGAGAGAGAGTTACTTAGAAAGTAGAAGGAATTGATATCAAAAACAGAGATTCCCATAGTCAGCATGCAGAGCGAGGTAGTAGTATATACCACACCAACACAGGAAAGATACACATGATTCCTGCGTGGAGTGAACTGTGAACTGTGTAAAAACACATGAAACAGTTGCCAAACTTCACCCCAAAAATCGTGTACAACGAAGCGATTCGATACCAGACAAACTCGACTTGACGGCACACACGGAGCTGTCTAGAAATTAGGGTAACTGTGACGACTAGGTATAGGTTTGCTTTGCTCACCAATTAATTTACTGAACACACGTACTGGGTTAGTGGTTAGGAAATGATCATTATAGGAGTACATACATGTACATACACACCTTTGCGTCTCCTCTGTCATAGTGTGAGCGAAGGAGCTGAGGAGGGTGAGGTGCGGGGACATAGCTCGGGGAGGGAGATGTGGAGCCTGCATTGGGAGAGGGAGGGAGAGGGAGGGAAGAAGAAGAGAAAGAGGGGGAGGATGAGATGAGAGGGAGCACCATGAAATTTGGAAAGATATGTACGTCACAAGATGGCCCAAATTACCACTGACCTTTTGACAGCAATGTAATCTCATAATATTACATGCACTTACCACTTCTAACTCAACATATGTACATCCACTATACACAAACAATCGTTGGTTAAACCAGTATCACGTTGGGTCGTAAAGCAATAACAGAGCGTTCTCGGCACTCTCATAATATACCTGAAGATGCGTTTGATTTGAGAGGCGAAGTGGCCGCCATGTTCCCGCCACTGGAGGCTCTCTGCATGATGGCAATGGACCCGGGCATCCGTGCCGGTCCGGTCTTGTCTCCTCCCCGTGACAGAATGGTCGGACCACGCCCTCCACCGTCCAGTCCCCCTGCACTGCCTCCATAGTAGTCCTGGGTATACAGCAACACACACTAATACACTGTCTAATAGAATTAACTGGTAAAGTAAGAGTGATGGCAACCTGACAGGCACATACACTAAATTTTTGGAAGCAGTGATCAGGGGTTACATGCAACACCTGGCAAGGCAAATATCCCAATACTTGTTCACCTACAAATCTCTCTCACTGTCAGCTTGTTTGTCTAACACTCGCTAAAACACAACAAAGCGGTGGGAATCAATTAGAAAGGAGTGGGAGGGAGAGAGAGAGACGGAGCAAAGGAGGTTATGTCGCCACGCCCAGCAGGGCCCTCACCTTCCCTCCACCTCGTCCTCGCGGCCTGTGGTCCCGGCGATTTTGATGATTGTTCCCCGCGTGGTGGCTCCGCGGAGGCGGCCCGCGGCCTCGATCGCGGTAAGGCCCGTCTCCTTCACCTCCCCGCCGCTCGCTGTCGTAGTCCATCGCCTCCTCCGTAGGCGACAAGAGCTCAACCAGCCACGGCTAAAAGCATTCCTCAAAGCTACACTGGAGAATAGGCGGGCGCTCTTCGATCGTGACCACACCCATTCCTAGAGCTGTTGCGCATGCGCAGTCAGTCAGCGTAGAGGAAAACATGGCGAAGATGGAGGGAGACGGAAACTCGCTGTACCCGATAGCAGTGCTCATAGACGAGCTTCGAAACGACGACGTACAGGTAGGCAGGGAGTTTGTGGTGTACTAGAGCCGTGGGGAAGGGAGATCGTGTCCAGGATACCGTCGTAAAACAAGACTTTGAAATGTTGGTTTGTGGGGGGGCCCGCGCCCCCAACCCACGTCTATAAACCTCTCCCACTAACCTCGTGGGCTTTGCGCTAAGACTGTCGTATATCAGCGACCAGTAATAAGGACAAAATTATCTGAGGGGCGCGGTGTTGCCTGTCTATGGGCTATGATTACAATGTGCCCAGTCAGCGGTTTTCGTCTCATCTCCTGTATATAGTTGCGACTGAATTCCATCAAGAAGTTGTCGACCATTGCCCTGGCTCTGGGAGACGAGAGGACTCGCTCTGAGCTACTCCCCTTCCTTACTGGTAGGACACAACTTACACACCACACCAGGCTTGTCAACAACACATTATTCCAGAGGACCCCCTGTAATCAGGTTACATATTTCTTTCTCCACAGACACTCTAGATGATGACGATGAAGTGCTGTGGGCGCTGGCCGAGCAGCTGGGAGACAAGGACTTTGTGGTGTTCGTAGGAGGCAACGAGTATTCACATACTCTCCTGGTCAGTTGTACATACATATGTACACCCATTCAACTTGTGTCCCAAGTATTACCAAGAATTAGTTCTTAATTTGTACAGGAAATACAGTTGAATTCTGTCTGGTTTTACGTGCGTATGCGAAGGGTTCACTAAGCTTCAAAGATAATTACAAATAGACAAAATTTTATGCTGAACACGAGGCTTGAAGTGTCACACAAGGTTTGGTGCTGGATGATTGTAGTATGTCGTTTGTCTTGTGTATGCAATGACACGCACAGGGATTTGTTGGTTGGTTGACTTGGTGACACCGAGAAATCAGATACTGTGGAGTACAATACTATATATATGCGCACTCCCCCTCCCTCTCCCTCTCTCCCCTTGTATTACTCGCTCTATTTCCCTCTCTCCCCCCAGCCACCACTGGAGAGTCTAGCTACCGTGGAGGAGACAGTAGTGAGAGACAAGGCAGTGGAGAGTCTGAGATCTGTGGCCGAGGCCCACTCTCCTGAGGACATGGAGAAACACTTCATCCCCATGGTCCAGAGACTCACCTCTGGTATGATATGTAGTCATCTCTATGACTGTATGTATAGTCTTATGCGAGCCACACTGAATGGCCTGTTGACCACAGAGCCCTGTGTCCAAGACAGTGAGCATTTTGTCCATTACCCTTCGTATGTGTGTGTGTGTGTGTGTGCATGGAAGAATAAATTGGAGTCAGCATCTGCCGCTATGAATGTTGTCCCCATTGTGACGCTACAGGGGAGTGGTTCACATCTAGGACATCGGCCTGTGGCCTCTTCTCCGTGGCCTATCCCTCCGTCTCTGACAGTGTCAAGAAAGACCTCCGAGAGTAGGCAGCAGCACACACACACACACCTTCCTCTCCCTTCTCTTTGGTCATCATCCTCTTTTTCTTCTCATGTCACGTATATATACTCACTCTTTACCGTGTTAATGTGTTGTATCTCTCTCTCTCTCTCTGTCTCTCTCTCTCTCTCTCTCTCTCTGTCTCTCTCTCTCTCTCTCTCTCTCTCTCTCTCTGTCAATGTCTGTACAGTTGGTTCAATAAGTTAGGGTCAGATGATACTCCGATGGTCCGCAGAGCAGCAGCTGGGAAACTTGGAGTGAGTCAATGTGTTCCCTGCTTTGTTGTGACCGTAGACATTTCGTGACTCAAAACTTAGTCTTAAATGAAGAACCAACTGATTATTGGGTAGTAAGAAAAAGCAACCTGTATGTACAACAGTACATTAGCTTTTGATTTGTAAGCTGTGATACCTCTGTGCAACTTGAAAATCACATTTACAGGTCATGGTCAATGCCGCCTTGCTTGTACTCACCTCGTAAGACCTTTTAGCTGTGTACAATCATTAACTTATACCTTTTCATTCTCTCTCTCTCTCTCTCTCTCTCTCTCCCTCTCCGTGTTACTCAGGAGTTTGCCACGGTGGTTGAGCCAGAGAACATCAAACAAGATCTCATTCCTCTCTTCCACAACCTGGCAGGAGATGAACAGGTACATACTGTACATGTACACACACTAACCGTCTACTGGTACACTAGCGGTATACTGTGGCTATTGGCACAGGACAAAAACCCTTGTTGTGATGCTATGCAGGTGTGGTTGTGGCAGCGACAAAGTTTCAACTTGTCAGTTATCTTGGTCCCTTGGGGTTAATTTCAAGGTTAACGACCACAAGTATAGTTGTCAGTGTCTATGTGATATTGCCATTGGCTGATCTGTGTGTAAGGAAATTACTACACTGAATACCTTTAAACGATATAGTTCCTTTCTTACAATGATATGGTTCCAGTAAACTGCACTCGCTAGTCTGCTGAAGAATATTTTCTCAAAATTTGCCAAACAATTCGCGGAAGTGTTTTCTCGTGTAAGTGTTCAGCTACACATGTGGTGTGTTGTGCAGGACTCTGTTCGTCTGCTGGCTGCAGAGGCGTGTGGAGCCATAGCCAGTCTGATGGACCAGGCAGACACCGAACGACTCGTGATGCCAATTCTCAACTCCGCCACCAAAGACAAGTCCTGGAGAGTCCGCTACATGGTTGCCGACAAGTTCACTGAGGTCTGTATCTACATACACGACTGAGAGGATTGTGCAGGTGGTAGAATGTAGGAGACTTTCCAAGACTGTGTTCTATAGTGGGATGTTAGAAATAATTAGTGAAAATGTGTTGTATGTGTGTGTGTGCGTGTGTGTGGTTACTAAGGGTTGTATGTACTCTGGGGAAAGGATTTAGTGCATAGAAGCTGGGTGACATAGGAGATAAAGGGCTTTTAGAGAGTGTGCTCTATAGCAGAATGATGGAAATGTAGGACTGGTGCGTGTGGTGAAGGGGCAAGCTGTAGTATTCGATGTGAGTGAGTGAACTGTAGAAATGGGAGATCTCTGTGACCACATCACACATGGTAGTTCCCTGCAAGCGAATCTCTCTCTCTCTTCTCATCCGCTTCCTCCCTCCTCCTCCTTCATGTATACATCTGCAGACTCAGTAGAGCAACCTAACCAAGACCAGCCTGGTCCATGCCTTTGCCAGTCTGCTGAAGGACCCCGAGGCTGAGGTCAGGGCTTCTGCCTGCAACAGGCTCAAGGGTACGTCACAAGTTGCACCCTGCTATACATTTCAAGGGGTCTCCCGCACATAAATTATGACCTAAAAGAACGGTCTACCAGCACTGAGCGACATGCGTTAGCACCGCAGTTGGTTATAAGTGTATTCTCTAGCAAGTGTGTCCGCATATTACTGGTGGTCTTCTGACAATGGGTTTATGGTACCTATTGGACATACATGTACGTATGTATGTTTCAGTATAATATATAGACCTCTCGCTCACGTCACTGTGTCCATCTCTCTCTCTCTCCTCTCTCTCTCTGCTCCGTGTTGTGTGTTGTGGCAGCATTCTGTGAGGCCCTGTGTGAGGACTACAGGGCGGACGCCATCGTGACGCAGCTCCTCCCCTGCATTCAGCAGCTGGTGCACGACGGCTCACCAACGACGTCAAGTCGTCCCTGGCCGCCGTATCATGGATGGACTCTCTCTCTCATGGGACTCGCCTCTCTCCCCTTGTTGGCAAAGACAGGTGCATATATACCTGAATCTAAACTTACTGAATGACGCTGGATGTGTCTTAAATTGAGGTATAGAGTGGCCAAATTCAAACAGCTTCTAAATACTGCTTTTTTGTCTCAAATGTTCCAGCCAAGTCTGTGATATATCATCACATCACATCACATTGAATTCATTTGGTGTTATGGATAAGGACTCGATGCAGGATGCTAGCATAGTGCAATAATACTAATAATATAGACTCAGGGGTTGGCTGCATAGCACTCTGTGCCATAGACCACGCACCCAGATCATGGGTGGAACCGTTACACACACAAGACACATACAGCCATATGAACATGAGGTGTCTGTCGCATACCTCCCAGACTCCCTCAACTCACCCCTATCCACCACGCGACAAGCCCTGACAGCTCCCTGCCAGAGCTGTCCAGCTATAGTGCATGCCCTTGCTTGATTTTGTTGTGGACGGCGGTCGCTTGCACCCCACATTCTTGTAAAAAGTACATAATATTTAAATATAGGCCCCGCGGGCCCGCCAACCCGGCCCTTTTTAAACAACACAAATCGCTTCGAATTCTGTGGCACCCATAGGTAGTAGTCAATGCGAATGCATGTCAGTGGAGAGTGTGTGTACAAAAGTGTCCAAATTAACCCGGACCCAATGGGAAGGCGCCACAGTTCATTTGTAAAAGACTCGCAAGTACACATTTAGTAGGTCTCCTAGAATTAATGCTGACACGTAAGCACGTCGGTGAACAACCGCATTGTCTATGTCCCTGCATGTCATAAGCGTTGTATTGGTAGACAAAAGTGTCCTTAAAAACACACATCTTTGAGTATGAAAAAGATGACAGGAAAAATCAATTAATCATAAGGCCTCCTCATCGAATGTATATAATGCACGCGGCAGACTCACTCGCACTATATACAATGACGTTCCCCATGCGTGACGTTTTGTTGATGTGTCCTTTACCAACACATTCTTGTAAAAAGTACAACAAGTTATAGGACCACTTCGAATTATGTGCACTGCACTCATCCAGCTATAGTCAAGGCGTTCATGATGTATGTGCGTCCTTACCCCACAATTCTTGTAAAAAGTACAAACAATTATAGGCCCTTCGAAGTATGTGCACTGCACTCTCCAGCTAGTATCAATGCATTTCATGATGTTTTTGTTGACCTGTCTTACCCCCACATTCTTGTAAAAAGTACGAAAAATGTATAGGCCCCTCTCGAATTATGTGTCACTGCACTCTCTCCCAGCTATAGTCAATGCATTCATGATTTTTTGTTTGACGTGCCTTAAAACCCCCATCATTCTTGTAAAACGTACGAAAATTTTATAGGCCACTTCGAATTATGTGCACTGCACTCTCAGCTATAGTCCAATGCATTCATGATTTTTTGTTGACGTGTCCTTACCCGCACATTCTTGTAAAAGTACAAAACAATTTAATTTATAGGCCACTTCGAATTATGTGCACTGCACTGCTCCAGCTATAGTCAATGCGTTCATACGATTTGTGTGATTGTGTCTCTTACCCCATCCACATCTTGTAAAAAGTACAAATCAATTTATAGTGCCATCCTTCGAATTATGTGGCAACTACATGTCACTCGTCCAGCTATAGTCAATGCATTCATGATTTTTTGGTGACCTGTCTCTTACACTATTCTGTATAAAGTATCAAACAATTTATAGGCCACTCGAATTATGTGCACTGCACTCTCCAGCTATAGGTCAATGCATTCATGATTTTTGTTGACTCGTGTCCTTACCCCCACATTCTTGTAAAAGTACAAACAGATTTATTAGGAGCTAGGAGAGGAGGCCACACTTCACTTCGAATTGTGCACTGCACTCCCTCTCTCCAGCTATAGTCAATGCATTCATGATTTTGTTGACCGCCTGCTGTCCTTATCCCCTCACATTCTTATAAAAGATAAAACAAGGACGCAAGACTGTTATAGGCCACTATCGAATTCTGTGCACTGCACTCTACCAGCTAGAGTCAATGCATTCATGAGTTTTTTTTGACGTGCCTTACCCCACATTCTTGTAAAAAGTATCAAACATTCATAGGCCACTGCGAATTATGTAGCACTGTCACTCTCCAGCTATAGTCATGCGTATCATGATTTTTTGTGACAAGTGTCCTTTCACCACGACTTACTTATAAAAAGTACAAACACTCCTTGCCGAACAGCTGGTAAACCATAGTGGCAATATAAGAGGGGTGCATGTTTGTCCTTGTGGTCAGCTCTGAATGGGTGTCCCCCTCCTATTACTGTACATAGTACCATCTAACAGTCTCTCTCCTCACACAGTGGGTGTCCCCCTCCTATTACTGTACATAGTACCATCTAACAGTCTCTCTCCTCACACAGTGGGTGTCCCCCTCCTATTACTGTACATACATAGTAGTACAGTACAACGTAACCGGCTCTCTCCTTACTCAGTACCATAGAGCACCTCCTGCCTCTCTTCCTGGTACAACTGAAGGACGACTGTCCAGAGGTGAGGCTCAACATCATCTCCAGCCTGGAGTCTGTCAACAAAGGTGAGCTTAGCCTACACCCACAATGTACGACTACAACAGTCATGTAGAAGTCACAGCGATGTAGGCGAAAAAGATTAAAGGGGGAAGTGAGTATACTATAGGGAGAAAGGCAAAAGTAGGAACGAGATTATGGGAAAATGTCGGAGCAAGATAGAGGAAACTCGGAGCGAGATTGTAGGTGTCAAATATGACAGGTTCGAGTGAGATAAGGGAAGAACGAAACGTTGATTTGTGTTTTCCCTTCCCTTACCCCCCTCCCTCCGTCCCTCCAGTGATCGGCATTAGTCAGTTGTCCACGTCTCTGCTGCCAGCCATCGTGGAGTTGGCAGAGGACTCCAAATGGAGAGTCAGACTGGCCATCATCGAGTACATGCCTCTCCTTGCAGAACAGCTGGTAAACCCCTCCCCTCCCTCTTCTCCCCTCTCCCTCCTCTCTCCTCTCCCTCCTCCCTCTTCTCCCCTCTCCCTCCTCTCTCCCACTCTTCCGACTTTAGCCAGTATCAACGTCGTAGTCCTGACTCTGTATTTCCATATTATGGTCTATCATTCATTGTTGGCTTGGTGTGTCCGTGCTCGTGTACATACTCTTTGTGTGCAGACTGTGTGTTAGTGAATTGTGCTGATCCTCCCTCTATTCTCCACTCACAGGGCGTTGAAGTGTTTGAAGAGAAGTTGAACCCTCTCTGTATGCAGTGGCTGATTGACAACGGTGAGCACCTTCTCTCTCTCCATACCTCCATCATCTTTACTAGTTTCTTCCTTGTAATGTAGTGAAAACCACCTCAATAATTCCCCATCTCTCACTCTTGTAATACTACCTCTTCCTGGCCTGTGCCTACGATTCCAAGAACTGATAGTCATTCTCCTAGTATCTGCACAATGCTCTCTTCCCCCTCCATCTTCCTCTTCCTCCCAGTGTACGCCATTCGAGAGGCGGCCACGGTCAACCTCCGTAACCTGGTGGAGAAGTTTGGTTCAGAGTGGTCTCGAGTCGCCATCCTCCCCAAGGTCCTCGCCATGTCACAGGATCCCAACTACCTCCATCGTCTTACCACCCTCTTCTCTGTGAATGTAAGACCCACATGCACGCGCACACACACACACACACACACACGCACACACGGGACTATGCATGTGACAGACATTCAGCCCAGACTCATGTTCCAGTGATGACCAAACTTATCTGGCAGCTGTGTGTACTTTTTGCTTGCTGTGCGTAGTATAATCATGTCTTTAAAATGGAGTGTATACATGTAACTGTATATATGATATACAAGCGTCATCAAAGTGTCACTCTGTGTCCCAGGTACTGGTGGAAGTGTGTTCTGTGGAGGTGATAGAGGAGGTGATGATGCCGGTAGTGACCAAGATGGCCGAGGATGCCGTGCCCAACGTCCGTTTCAACGTGGCCAAATCCCTCACCAAGATCACCTCCCGTGTTGGACAGGGGTCAGTGGCCCTGCCTGTTGTGTAGTCCTGGCTTTTCATAATGTGGCAATCCAGTAAAGAGAGCTATCCGCACTAGTAAAATACCTCTCTGATGTGGGATATTTCTTCAAGCAATTTGCCCTGTTCTTGTGATTTGCAAAGCATCATTTTATGGAACTCAATGCTACCAAAACACATGCATCTTCCACAATGGTGATATGTTGTATTCTAAAGCATGTATTATTATATATAGTGCTGCATGATAGCATTATGTTTCTCTTTCTATTATGCTTCTGCTCCTCCCCCTCTCTCCTTCCCCTCCAGGACGGTCAAGTCAGCGGTGCTGCCGGTGGTTGAGAAGCTGCAGAAGGACTCTGACCCCGATGTCAGGTTCTTCTCCTCCGAGGCCAGCTCCCAGATCACTACATTCCTCTCAGGGTGATTGGCCACGCCCCTTTGACATGTCCACTCCCCGTGCTCTCACACTTCTACCTTTGATTGAACTTTAGAACTTGCCATATTGCGTTGTAGATGTGAACTATAAATGTTTATAAGAGTTTCCCTCTTTGGGAAGACGCCGCGCCGCTGTCACTCCAAGATTTCGCTCCTTGTGCGCATGCGTCAAACGTCGACCTCTTGTGAGTGCAGTGCGCGAGGACGCCGAGAACTGGCAGAATTGCACACACTGCCACTGAGCGTCCAAGTGGTGCAGGGAGCGAACTGTCGGAATGGAAGACGAGGGGCCGTTGGTGGGAGCCATAGACCAGGGCACGGGCAGCTCCAGGTTCCTGGTGAGAGGCTAAAGTTTTATTCCACACGTCAAGGAGTACACGCGTGTGCCCCTCGCTGGACATGATGGAGAGAATGGCTAGTAGCCAGACAGTACTGCGGGTAGGACAGTACTATCGAGCGTGTTGGGTGCGGTATATTTAGCGTGTGTGGCTATAGCAGTGGGTGGAGCTCATTAGTTGCTAAACCTCTACATTTCAATTGGTGTGTGATATTATGAACTGCAGGTGTTTGACAGAGAGTGTAGAGTGGCACGGCGGGAGGGGCGGAGGATAGAACATCAGGTGGAGGTCAAACAGAGTTGCCCCCACGATGAGTGAGTGCTCAAATCACCGAACCCACAACTTTGTAGGTTCCTATTGCCATAACAACTGACTGGTCTGGGGCTAGGGTATATATGTATACACAGAAAGAAACATTATGCTGAGCAGTACGGACTTGTTAAATTAGCCTCCCCATACAATTCGTTTTGAAGCAGAGGTGTTGCGTGTATGCATACACTGTAGCAATATTCTCTCGCGGTTGTGTGTGTCTTTGTGATGACTTTTCTGGCAACGTATTTACTGCTGCAGGTGGTTTGAGCAGGACGGGGAGGAGCTACTGGGGAGTGTGAGAGAGTGTATGGAGGAGGTGGGGAGGAGGCTGGGGGAGGGTGGAGTGAGGCGGCTGGCTGGGGTGGGCATCACCAACCAGAGGGAGACCACCATTCTCTGGGATAAGACCACTGGGAAACCTCTCCACCCTGCCATTGGTACATATACAGCAATGGTTTTCACATTACCTACTATCATTGGTCTAATAAAACGGGGAAAAACTTATGTGAATATCACGGTTTGTTTCTATAAAAGCTCTCTCTGTAAATTTCGATCGCATTATTCCTGTATACTACCATTACTGTGGAGAGTAATCAACTGTACGCAAAGCTTTTGTCCACAAAATATTCAGGTGGAAGTAGAGTGGCAATCCTTGATAATTAGACAAAGAGCATTTGCAAAAGGTCTAAATCTGTGTCGATAGCCCGATTGTGGCAGAGTTTTGATTCTCTGCTTGCTCTCTGCAGTGTGGTGTGATGGACGAACCGCCCAGTTGGCCAGTGACCTCATCAGAAACTCTCCTTCCAAGAGCAAAGACCAGCTCAGAGTTAGCCACCTCATTGCTCTGTGATTCTCCATTGCATGACACCTTCCAGGGAGCTACATATACATAAACTTTTTCACCCTACAACTGTCCAACTTCCTAACGATTTTAACACTTTGCACAATTTCTCCAAAAACAGTAATCATTTTGCACGTAGCTCCCTGGAAAATGATTCCTGTTGTTTGCCACATCTCTGAGACACTATAAAGCTGTCGCGTTTCTTGCTGGTTTGTGTCTCGTTGATGGTTGGAGATCTCTCTCCGATGTTTCCAGTGATGTCCAGAGTCCTCTCCATCATAGAGTCACTGGCGATGTTATTCCCCCTCCCTCGCTCTCTCTCTCTCCCTCCAGCAACAATGTGGTCTCCCCATCCATCCCTACTTCTCGGCCCTCAAGCTGCGATGGATGTTGGACAACAGTCACTCGGTCAGGACCGCCATTGAGAGGGGACACTGCCTCTTTGGAACTGTGGACACGTGGATCATATGGGTAAAGTATTGTAATGTATTCAATGAAGTGTGTGAGTAAAGGACACCTTGGAGACACGGAGAATGCCCCTCGTTCAGAGTTGATATGATACACACTATGGGACAGAACAAAGTGTCATTTTAGAGAAGTGCCCTTTGTTCTTTTCCAGAGGTTTCACCGTAGCACCCAAAGGTGACATGTAACCGGAAAATTTGCTCTTCACCTGCTACTACTGGTTGTCCGTTTGACTTAACTTGCTTAGCCCTAGCCAACAGTTCTCTTGTCTTTGCACATCAATAAGAACATACCGGTCCAACTGTGTGCGATAAGATGACTCTCGTGTGCTTTTCCCTCATTTTTGGTGAGGCGCGAAGCGAACCTATATATATACCTGGTTCGTCTCAGTGCAATGTGACGGGCATTGCACATACCGTAATGCGCTTCTAAAATACCGACGAAAGTTTGAACTACTCGCATTTGCTCCCAAAAAACTACAAGACCCATTCATCTGGTATATTACTGTATACTGTAGATAATTAGAGGGTCTCCCCCCCTCTCTCTCTCTCTCTCTCTCTCTGTTCTGTCCCCAGAACCTGACAGGAGGTGTGAATGGCGGTGTCCACGTCACAGACGTCACCAACGCCTCTCGTACCATGCTCATGAATATTCATACACTCCAGTGGGACCCCTCCCTCTGCAAGTTAGAGTGACCCTTTATACTGTCACACTATAACACTACCATACCATGCTCATGAATATTCATACACTCCAGTGGGACCCCTCCCTCTGCAAGTTAGAGTGACCCTTTATACTGTCACACTAGAACACTACCATACCATGCTCATGAATATTCATACACTCCAATGGGACCCCTCCCTCTGCAAGTTAGAGTGACCCTTTATACTGTCACACTATAACACTACCATACCATGCTCATGAATATTCATACACTCCAGTGGGACCCCTCCCTCTGCAAGTTAGTGACCTTCACTATAACACCCATACTTTCATGCCGTGCATACACTACCTGCTAAAGTAATACCCTCATGAATTTTGGTGAGTGAACAAACGAGCATACAGCAACGATGGCGAAATTTAAGTTCCACTTGGATGCGTGTATTTAAAATCGCGTAGGACATTGCGGTAGGGGGTGGCAACTATAGCACCTCATAATATATAAAGAAGTGCATGCAATAGTCGTCTTACAGCAAAATTGAGGACTACATTAATTTAGACCTGAAGTAATGTATGTACTAACATAGGTTCTTTGGTGTTCCAATGGACATTCTGCCAGAGATCAGGACCTCCTCTGAAGTATATGGAGTTATAGTGAGTCTTCATCATTTAGTCTTCATCAGTTAATCTTCATCTAAAATGTTCTCTTCGTCACTTTGTCAGGCTGATGGTGTGCTGAAAGGAGTGCCTTTGTGTGGGGTTAGTTGACCTTTATTCTTCAGTTAACACTCGGTCTGTTCGTTCTCCATATATTTCTTCCCTCTCTTCTCCCTCCCTCTCTCTCTCCTCTCTCTCCCCTCTCCCTCTCCCCTCTCTTCTTTCCTCTCTCTCTCTCTCTCTCTCTCTCTCCCTCTCTCTCTCCTCTCTCTTTCCTCTCTCTCTCCTCTCTCTCCTCTCTCCTCCCATACAGTGTCTAGGAGATCAGCAGGCGGCACTGGTAGGTCAGCAGTGCTTCAGTCCAGGAGACGCCAAGAACACCTATGGTACAGGCTGCTTCCTCCTCAAAAACACTGGCCAGGTATCAGTCCATGCCCTAAGAACCCCTTTAATTATGTTACGTAAGTTGTCCTATGAGTTTCTTATATATGTATGTATGATAGTGGGAGGGATTGCTCAGTGAGGCACATTCCTTCAGATTTCACCCACCACTTGCTGCCTTGTATCCTAGGCTTGCTACAAGGAGTTACATAAGAGGAGTAGGATAGTTACATACAGTTGGGTAATGCTCACACACACAGTTTATTATGATGATGCAACTTTGGTGCATTACCTGCAACTACAAATGTTTGACCATGCAATATTATGTTGCAACCAACTTTGTTACATGTTGTATCATCATTCCTAATACATTTGAAGACTTGTCTCATCGTGTGTGTTAATTAAGGGGCTGACTGTTTTGTGTCCTATGTATGGTGTGTCCAGCAAGTGGTGATGTCCAACTCTGGTCTACTGACTACTGTCGCCTACCAACTTGGTCCTGGCCAGCCTGTCTACTACGCTTTAGAGGTGCACACGCATGCAACTCTTAGAGAGTGTAATCCTTTTGTCGAAACCCACATCTGAATGATGTGTCTTACATGCCATAAGTACAATAGTGACCCTCTGGACCCACTGTGTCTTATTTTATTCACCTTGGGCTGTAGACTATATCTTACATAATGTATTCTTGCTTGTCCACACCATGGACTAGTAGACTATACTATCCTACTGCTATGCCTCTAAGTGTGGACACTGTGTTAAGATGCACTGTGTCGCAGGGAGCAGTGTCAGTGGCTGGTCAGAGTGTTCGGTGGATGAGAGACAGCCTTCATCTCCTGGAATCCTCCGAACAGATTGGTGCAACAGTCTCTCTCCCCCTCTCCTTTTGACTCTCTTTCTCTCTCTCTCTTTCTCCCTTCTCCTTCTCCTTCTCCCCTCCCTTCTCTCTCCCTCTCCCCTCTCCTTTTCCCCTCTCTTTCTTCCTTCTCCTTCTCCCCTAATACACCCCCCTCTCCTTTTCTCTCTCTTTCTGTTCTCCCCTATTACCCCCTCTATCTCTCTCATTCTAGAGGAATATGCTCAAGAGGTGGAGGACACGGGTGACGTGTACTTTGTACCGGCATTCTCTGGCCTCTTTGCCCCTCACTGGAGATCTGACGCCCGAGGGTGCGTAGCTGTGTGTGTGTGTGTGTGTGTGTGTGTGTGTGCTACATTAATGAACCCTCCAAAAAAGGACACCTCTCTATAAGGAACACTTGGTTCTGCCGCATACTAATACATTAGTGTATTGTACCAACTCTGACTATAAGACACTTTCAATGTGCCCCAAGAACTACTAGTTTTTCCACCAATGAAAAATACATGGTTAAGTCATTGGGAACTCATTAGGATTTAAAATGTGGTAAATATGGAATGGATTGTCCATAAACTAGTAGTGAAGGTTTCACTGTCTTTATGTGGCCATTTGTAGTGTATGTGTCCTTCTCCTCTACTGTAATATGCCAGACTCGTGATCGGACTGACACACTCCACCACCAGAGCCCATCTCTGTAGAGCTGTGCTGGAGGCGGTGTGCTTCCAGTCCAGAGAGGTACGTGTGTATCTGACTCTCTCCTTTGTACACTGGCGTACATGTACACAACAACGAGGTTGCAAAATTAGATTACACGGCTACACCTCATCCTGTTTGGATGATTTGCCCCATAAGCCCGGAAACCTGAGTTCCTATACAACAGCAGGAGAAAACCAGTTAGTTGTGTCTAGACTGAAGCAGGACTTACAGGATGTGATGGTGTGTATATGACCAGCCTACATACAATGTACGGGTGCTACATGTAGTTATGACTGCATGACTCCTACACACATGCTTTGCTTGCGCAGCAGGTGAACTGCTGAGTGTCATCTGCGACCTCTTTGCTGTACATACAACATGTGCCAATGCTATTTGAATGTTACGTCATTTGCTTTATCTGTCGGCTTTGACATTTAGCAGCCAGCCACTCCACCAAAAATATGTACACAGGGGCACTCTATGTTGGTACATAGGTACATACAACACACCATGTAGAAATCTCACACCTGCAAAGACCTTAACCTAATTGGGGGTCTCCATTAACTTGATGCTCTGGTTTATAGAACGCTTTGGTTCAGCAGTGCACATGTAAGTATTAATGCTTCGAATGAAAATGTGTGTGCATTATGTGTTTGGCAGTTCGCCTGAGCTTTCTGAAAACCTAACCACTTCAAGGAACTGTGTATACAAAGCCACTTTGGCATCTGTATCAGACGTGAGTGCGATCGCCTGTATTGTGGTGTGTCTGTTGCACCAGATCCTGGATGCCATGAACCAAGACTGTGAGCCTCCGTTCACTCAACTGAAGGTGGACGGAGGAATGACTGTGAACGAGGCTCTACTGAGACTTCAGGCCGACCTTCTTGGCATCGCTGTCGGTGAGAGAGAGAGAGAGAGAGGAAAAGAGAGATTGGGAGAGAGAGAAGGGGGAGGGATGAGTGGAGGAAAGGAAGAGGTGGGAAGTGGGGATAAGGGAATACATGAAGGAAGGATTGAAAGGAAGAGGAGAAATGGTCAAAGTACAATAAACGTGAGGACCCTTGTAGCGAGAGGAACCTATATACATATGTAGCAAAAGGAGGAAAGGACCAAGAGCTCAGAATTATAAGAGTGACACAGTTGTGCTGCACCTCTATACTCTAGCTCTGACATTTCATTTGTGTGTGCTGGTGCACACAAGGATCAGAGGAACGAAGGAAGAGCAAGTAAAGACAGATGAAGATGTTTTCAGTTCCCTGATGCTCTCTCTCTCCCCAGTTCGACCGGAGGTGAGAGAGATGACGTCTTTAGGAGCAGCCGTAGCTGCTGGACTGGCTCAGGGGGTGTGGTCTGACTCCGCCCACCTCCCCACTCTCCTGTCATCCACCTTCCAACCCTCCATCTCACCAGACAGTGAGTCCCTCACTTCCTCCTTTGTACACAGACCTCTAGTCCAGAGAACAGAATTAGTGAGGTGTCCTTATTTCAGGAGGAGAAACTGTTTTTGGGGAAGAAAAAGTGTCCATGTTAGAGAGGTGTCCTCGATTTCTAAGGGAGGGGTTCCAGTGTATGTACGTATGTACCCCATTCACCAGAACACTAGAGCTGCTACAGCATTATACAGAGTCGGCAAACCTTTGCAGCCTTTTGAATGGTGGGTTGGGCTATGGCACATCATGTACAATCTGTAGCTATGTATGGTGCACTCTTAGTACATGTTCATTTACAGTTCTTACATTTGCATTTGTGTACGACTGGAGTACATAGTATACAGGACATTCTGGTACTATGTACTTGTTAGTAGGGTTGGCTTCATGTAAGTATGTACTGAGCTGTTTGTGTGTGTGTGTGGTGTGTGTGTGTGTGTGTGCTGTCTTCGGGGCATGTCAACCATAATATGTAAATAGCAAATAGAGGGCTGCTAGCTGATTCTACTCCTGTAAACCACTGATTTCACTCCATAGGCGGCCTGGAGACTAATCTGTTAGTAGGAAATGGGTAATTTGGCAATCACTCAAATCTAAGACCTCCTAATACCTCCAAATATTCCGTGGCGCTGTGGTTAATTAAGGAGTGTCACTCCCCAAAAACCACATACTGAAGCAGACAAGTTTCTACCTGGGAGGTATGGGAGGTGGAAGGAGAGGTGATGTAGTAGGACTGTCTGGCGGTCTCCTAATGAATGAGTGAGAGATGTGAGATATGGGAGATGTAAGGAGAAAGCGTGTGTCATATCCACAGAGTGTGATGAGAGATATGGGAGATGGAAGGAGGCAGTAAAGAGGTGTCTAAACTGGCATCCTCCCGGTAAGGGAGGTCAGGAGCTGTCCCACAATAGACAAGGTCAGTTGTACTTAGTATATAGGGTATGTGCATGGTACCTAGCGTCATATGTAGATGTGTGTTTGCTATCATGAACGTGAAGTTTCTCCCTAAAACAACAACAGTGTGTACTTGAAAGTGTGCATAATCGGAGCACCTGAGTAGACAAGCTAACTATATATGTATCTTTCCCCTCTACACACGCTCTCTGCTTCTTTCTCTCCTCAGGAGGCTCGGCCAAGTTTCTGCTGGGGTGTCTGACTGGAGCTGTGGTGGGCGGGGCACTCGCTGTAGTTCTGTTCCGTAGGAGATAGTAACCGAGCAACGGCAGCAACACAAGCACTTGTTTGCCTTAGAGATTATGACCAGAGTGAATAATAATATCTAGATTTCCAAGAATATAATATCAATGTTCCATTATACTGGGTCCATGTTACAGTTATGCGGCTTCGCTATCGCTTCATTACACTGCCAAGTTACTTCCTATGGTTTTAACTAGAAGAATGTCTGTGAACAATTTTTGTGACTTAGCAACAGTGATCGGAACTATGTGAGCACGTAACGTACACCTGGCAAGGTGCCCATACACTTTATACAGGGATTGTCTATGCTAATGGCGTCTGCAATTTTAACTGACACAATTGTCAGCCAAAGTTTCATGATGGCACATTCACCAAATAATTACCATGTACCTGTGTCATGTGATTACATAGCAGGCATATTGGATATTCATGGCCAGGGCATGCACTGCATTGGTGCCGCATGTAGATAGACACAGTGATAAGAAGACCATGTGATCAAAATGAGTTGAGAAAATAGAAAAACAAGATGGTGTAGAAGAGAGGCAGGAATGATGGAGATTATACAGAAAAGAAATTGGTGATGGAGAAAGCTATATTATTGTAGTGATGTGATAAAATGAACATGGGGTGCCCTTGCGAGTAGTTAATACTCATTCTTGCCCAATTATCCGATGAGCAAAATCTATCCTTGAAGAAAAAACGTCCGTGGCTGCGTGGCTCGTGGGAGCTGGCCTTGCATCAGGTCTGTGTGGCTTGTGTAAATGGTTGGAATGACGGAGAACCTAATTACCCGAGGAGGACCCTCTTCATTCTGTGTCTTGTTCCTTCCTCCTCGTCCTCTTCGCTTGACGTGACGCAACTCCCGCCACTACTGCTGTCGTCCACGCCCACTGCACACACCGGAGAACACAGGTACTCCATGAACGGGATGCGGTACTTTCCGCAGAAGTCAACAAACGTGACCGACTGGACGTGAGATTGGAAGTATACGCCGTTACAGTCTGGGTTGTCGCAGTGACGCGCAGATTGGAGATACCTTGCTAACCCACCAGGGAGCAACTCTTGAGGGTATGACATCCCCTCTTTGAGGAGGGCCCGGGCACTTAGCTCCAAGAGAGATGGAACGCTGTCCGCCCACTCCCTGACGAACCGATAAACGAGGGGGTTGCCTCGGAGACTCAGCTCTCGGAGTGCCACACACTGGACGAGGCCCTTGGGTAAGGTCTGAAGCTGGTTGTTGTGGAGACGGAGGGAAGTGAGGTGAGCCAGGTGGGCCAGTTGTGACGGGATGGACAGGAGCTGGTTGTCACAGAGGACGAGCGCTGCCAGTTTGTGGAGTTGTCCGAGCTCTGGGGGGACCTCCTGAAGTCTGTTTCCTCCCAGATAGAGATTGGAGAGTCTGAGAAAGACAGAGGAGAGAGGTGTGGGGTAGAGGGAAGGGGACGGTAAGGATACGACATCAGTGAAAGCACAGACAAAAACACTGAAAGCAAGTTATGATTGTGAAGAGTTATGGAGTGGGCTTTATACACAACACTAAGAGCTAGAATTCCCCGCCAAATGTGCACAGCCAAACACATAAAAACAGCAGGCTGAAGTTGCTTAGCACCAAAATGTTTGACCGTTCTCCCTTGAGCTGCTACCCACCATACACTATGTTTGACCTTTCTCCCTTGAGCTGCTACCACCACCATACACTATGTTTGACCTTTCTCCCTTGAGCTGCTACCACCACCATACACTATTCTCTCTCTCAGGATCACTTAGTCTCGTCACTCACTCTTTGAGCTGGCCTATGGACCGCGGCACTGCCCGGAGTCTGTTTCCGCCCAGGTGCAGGCACTCCAGCTTCGCCAGGCGGACGATCTGCGGCGGGAACTTCTCCAACGAGTTTCCGCTGGCGTTCAGCTCTCTCAGTGAGGAACCCAGCCGAGCGAAGCTCTCCGGCAGGCTCTTGAGGCAGTTCCTCTTGACTATGAGGACCTCTAGTCTCTGCAACTGGCACAGTTCCTCCGGTAGCTCGTGGAGACCGTTGTCGGAGACGTCCAGTTTGCGGAGTCCCGCGAAAGAGCCAAGAAGCGCCGCAGGGAGAGGGGAGAGACGGTTCTGAGCCAGATTCAGCTCCTCCAGTCCTTCCTCCAGGACCCGTCGCTTCAGGTATTCTGGGAGGGAGCTAAGGGACTGGCCGGCCAGCGAGAGCCGCGCCGCAGAGGGCGAGTAGGACGAGGAGCTGTAGGAAGACACCACACTCATGGTTCTGGCGGACACCTCTTAGCCCAGGGGCTCGATATCTGGCGAATATAAGGCTGGTGGACGCCCAGCCTGGTCCCTATATAGTCTCAGAGCATTACTACAGGCCTTTTTCTAGAACAAGAAACAGTGTTATACTCGCAGCACTTCCTCTAGAGTGGAAGAGTTAGCGTACGTTTGACCTTCACATTATGATTGACCGCGCCCATTTATGCACACGTGTCCGTGAACAAGTGGGCGTGGCATCACGCAGAGCATGCATGGCTGACAAAGTGACGACGGCAGAGGCGAGAAAGGGGGAAGAGGAGGAGGGCGGGAGAGAGGAGGGGGAAGGGGAGGATGGTGCCTGTAGTGACCAGGAGCTTGAAGACTTGCTCAATTGTAAGTACCTCGTACTTTTCCCTCACTCTCCCTCGTTTTTACGAGGTGATAGCTGAAAATTCTGTCAGGAAACAAGGCAAAATGGGTAGATGACTGACGCAGCTTCTATTGTTATCGTACCATTGAAAACCCCTGTTTGCCGGCAATTTGCACACTACTCTCTCTCTCTCTCTCTCTCTCTCTCGTCCCTCTCTCGTCCCCTCTGACTCAGTCTCCCTGGGAGAATTTGGTAAACACCTACCAGCCACTGCCACAGACGCTCCGGAATCTCAGTCTACGCATCCACCGCCATCTGACAGTGGGTGTGGCAGTGGGCGGAGCCAGGGAGAAAGTGAAGAGAAGAGTGGTAGTAGTGAAGCTCCGCCCACTGCCACCATGCAAGAATTTGAGGTACAGTTGAATGGGGATGTTGAATCGCATCGTTTGCCTACAGTAGATATTTTTACATCCTTATACTCTCCCAAAAGGATTTCTAACCGATTAGAAGAAGCCTAGAGTAATTATTAGGGATTGCATTTGCTACATGATGGTTTTGTGAGTATTGCTAGTCTTGAAATCATTTCGATTATTATCATGATGTCGCAGTATATTAAGAACCAGAAATTAGAAAATGCTACTAAACGGAAACCTAATTACATTCTTGCACTATTGGGCTTAAGTAAATTTATCCCTTATGTATGGAGAAATTCCCTTACATCGGTGATATGTGTGGTGTGTGTGTGTGTGTGTGTGTGTGTGTGTGTGTGTGGTGTGTGTGTGTGTGTGCAGGATGTTTTCTCAGAGGAGTTTGTGGCTCAAGCTCAGGCCAAGTTGGACAAAGCCATGCAGATACTGTCAAAGGAAGACCCTGAACTGTGGCAGCAGTTGAAGGGCTTCAGCGACGCTGCGTCTGCTAGTCTTGGTTGTACTGAGGGGGAGGAGAGAGGGAGGGAGGCGGAGAGTGGGAGGGATGGGGGAGAGGAAGGAGGGAGGAGAGAGTATTGAAGACACACTCGAGGACACTTTCCGCAGATTGAAGGAGAGCACAGAGAGGATTGAGGTGGGTACTGCTCTCAGTAGGTGATCTGTGTTCAGTGCAGTGGGATCTATCACATCAAGTCCTGATTCAGATTAGATTTTGGATTAGCTAACGTTTGCACACCAGAAATCTCTGATCAATTTTCCAGCATTTCAACACAAATAGTCTAAAATAGCAAAAAAAATTTGAGTCCTCTGTATATACCTGTTTCATCTCGAAGATTGCACAGGGAGTCAAGAGGAAAAAGAGAAACACACTGAAACCCAGTTTGCTTCTTATCTCTTTAGTGTAAGAGTTAATGCTATAGGTAAATATGGGCGAGATAAAAATAGCTCCTTATCCTTTAGCTATGTGTATGGGACAAATGCTCCTTATTCTCAGCCGTAAACAGTCACTCGAGCTGTGGCTGAGTGTTAGAGTGTTAGGAACACAATTAGGACCACAATTTCATGTGTATTATACTAGTGGGCAAAGAGCATGAAGTGCCAGCGTTAGCACTGGACAGGGAACAGAAGAAGGAAGCAGGGCAGTGACAACATGGCGCTGTTTGCCGTGCGTTTCCATTCAGCAGTGACTGTTGTGTGCGTGTCCACCATGCCTGGTATAATAGCCTCTGTGATTGTCACTTGGAGTGTGCTCCATACATAGGTGGCTATTGGGTCCGACCCTATATTATAGTCTGTTTATCTGCGTACACTTCGCCTGGCCGTACATGTGTGTGAATGAACTATTGTGTTGCATGAACAGTGGTACAAATTGGGGACTACAACACAGCGCGATGCAGCACTGCATGTGGTGTATGTTCCTATATAATTATAATAGAGCAGTCTAGTCAGGAAAACACGACCGAATGGAATCAGCAATCATTGTTATTTTACTGTGAGGGAGAGGGGGTGGAGAGAGCGAGAGTGTAGTGCATACAAAGTTCCTGTCAGTGTGCTGCATAGCTGCTTGCATGAGATTGTCAATCTGGTGATAAGTTTAGAGCTGTTCTTCTAACATACTTCTTAGTCTTTTCACCATACAGTAGCTATTTGGTGATGAGGTAGAGCTTTCTGGGTGTTTATTTTTTACTTATCTTTCACCGCTAACATTCGCCTGTGACACGTGTATGAAACTGCAACAAGAACTATACCTTGATCATACTGCTAACATGAAACAGCCGAGGGTGTGTGTGTGTTGTGCAGGCAGAGGGAGGAATGGAGGACCTTGAGTCTGGTCTCCCAGAGAGGCTGATGAAACTGCTGGAGGAGGTGAAGGGAGGAGGGGGGGAGGAGGGAGAGTTGGAGGACGGGGAGGAGGGGCTGGTGAAGATGATGGACAAGATGATGAGCTCATTTCTCTTCTCCCGAGATGTTCTCTACCCATTCCTCACCCAGACCTGCAAACAGGTAAACTCGGACAAGCGGTTTTGTGGATCTGTATGTATTTTCGTGAGAACATGCTTTTGAGAAATTCAAAAGTTTACCTACCCATGTTTTCCTCTCTCTTTCTGCACTATTAACCATCTTTCTACGATGGCCCTGCACTCGTTGGTCTACACAGCCTTCATCTCTGCGTGTGTTCTTGTGTGGTGTTTGGCGACGGAAGCAAGCCTACCTAGTTGTCCGAATGCGTGATTTATTTCTGTGCGACTGGACTGCACGTACCGTAATTCACTCTGTGATTCAACTCCAAGAAATATACGTTGCATTATGTTCTTACTCCGTGTATGTTGTTCACAGTATGGGGAGTGGCTACCGGGTGAACGAGAGAGGCTGGGTCCGGAGGAGTTCTCCCGCTATTCCAAACAGCTGGAGATCATGAGAGCCATGTGCCACGAGTTTGAGGGCCAGGATAAGGAGGGAGAGGGAGAGGAGGAGAGAGGGGCCCGTGCTGGGGCAGTAGGTGGAGAGGAGGATTCGAAACAGAATGAGAAGATAATTGAACTCATGCATCAGGTTTGACTTGGCATTTTGTCTATTATAGTGGATCATTATAATGAATGTGTGTAACTTTGAGATTTACAAGTCTCTGTGTGTGTTGCCTCTCCAGCTGCAACAGTACGGCCAGCCCCCTCCTGAAATATTAGGAGATGAAGTAAGTGCAACTTTGCTATATATATAGAAATCATCTGCTGTTTTCATTTCGTCCCACCAGATGCGCCCTCCTCCTCTCTTCTCTAGTGGTGGTCCTCCAATGCCCGCAGACTGCTCTCTCATGTAATTCTCTTTTCTCCTGTCATCCTCATACGTGCGCATGCGCGTTTAGGAGCACGCATGCGTACTGCCGCACAATGTAGAGGGGTGGGGCTAGTAGCGGCGGCCGCCGAGGAAAGCTAGAGAAGGGAGCTATGGAAGTGGTGAGTGTTCCCATGAACCTGGGGTTCTCTGTTGCCGCCTTCTTGGTTGCGCACAAGGTGATAGGCTCGCAGACCATGCAAGAGCTCTTCATTAGGGCGGGGCTGTTCGGGAAAGACCTCAACAAGACGAGCGAACAGAAAGTGTGAGTCGCGCTCTCTAATTAGAGCGCACGCTTCCTCTCCGAGACTAGCTGTGTTGCCTGGTGTTTGCAGGCCAGAGGGGCTCGGAGTGCTGGCTGGAGCGACATTCCTCATCTCTCTCTTCCTCTTCATCCCCGTCCCCTTCCTCCTCACCTACCTCCTCAATCCCCACCTCTCTTTTGAACACAATGAGGTCCCTACACCTCTCCATTCATTATTTCTCTCCTTCTCCCTCCCTCTGTCCTTCTTACTCTCTTAACCCTTTTCACTCCCCTTACTTGGCCCTCTCCCACTCATACTCACACACCACAACTAATAGCCGATGAAGCGAGGGAAATATGAAAAACCACATGCCGTTTACATGCTGTGCTGTGTGTTTAGCTATCGTGTCCCTTCTCAGGTGCCTATGGTGTCGCTTTCAGTAGTTTACTCTCGGTCTCTACACCACATCACATATTCACCAATGGCCTATTACTATCTTCTCCCTCCCTGCAGTTTGCCCAGTTCCTGTGTGCCCTTCTCTCCATCTGCTGCATGATATTCCTCGGCTTCGCTGACGACGTGCTCAACCTCCGCTGGCGTCACAAGCTCCTCCTGCCCACCATTGCCTCCCTCCCGCTCCTCATGGTCTATCTCGTCAACGGGGGCTCCACCACCGTGATCCTCCCACAGCCTGTCCGGTTTGTCCTCGGAGGAAGCCTCAATGTCGGTGAGTTGTCCCTCTCTCTGTATTTCGAATCTTTTAAGAAACCTGCAAGTAGGTCACCAGTTTGCTAATAGCCTTCTCCCTAGTCGTCTGAATGCAAGAGTTTCCATACTTTCATATGTCTGTAACATACCACCTACACTGCACATAGCTTCATGTTATACAACATTCTAAATACGCGCGAAACATGCACAAAACTGCTCTCTTCGTTTGCCAAAAATGTGTTGCATTCCATTTTAGTACTTGTACATAATGTGGATAAAAAGGAAGGAGACAAGGCATTAGTGCACTAGATAAATGGAGAGAAAAATCGGTACGCTTCACTTCACTTTTCTAGGCTGCAGAGTGCCGTGGGTTCGAATCCCACCCAGGACAGCTCTTTCTTTTCCTTGAAAAGAAAGAGCTGTCCTGGGTGTAGTTGACGTGTCTGCTTTGCCTTGCCTTTCTACCTCGTTACCTTGTTGTTGACACATGCTCATTTCACTACTTCGACTGGTTTCTTTCCAAACATGTGCAATGAGCCTTGTAACTACAGTCACGTTTGGCCATAAAGTGTGAAGACCAAGCACTTATATAAAACGTGGGAGCCTCAGAGGGATTGTAGCTACTACCGTACTACATATGTATGTTATTTCAGCTGTGTTCAAATATCTGTACGAACAGCCCTACATGTTTTGCTGAAATTCCTGGATAATGAAGGAACGGCTGTGTGAGAATTGGAAATCGACGCTTCCTAACATGGCGTTTCCTTGCTATATTTCCTCCCACACTGTTATTTATTCACCAGTAGCTGATATTCCCCCCAACGATGTGGCACTGCGGCCTCCTTGTTTCCTACAGTCACATGACATGTGCAGCCACCTATGTTTACAGAGGCAGTGTGCTTTGTGTCGCCTGCCACTTTATGCTGGTGAAGGGAAGCATGAAACACACAACCAAAGGTCCCTCTAGTTGGTGTCTGGACGTGAAAGTTTTTACGCCATTTTCTTGTAGTTTTGTCACTTTGATGACTAACGCTGTGCATTGCTTACTCACGATTGAGTTGCAGCAAGCAATGTACATGTGTATAATGTATGTCATCTAACTATGACTCATGCCGTATAAATGCACATACATCTGTTTTGTACCAGCTCGGCTGTTCCCCTACTTTATTCAGACCTGTTCATTACATCATACAACTGACCTGGATTTCCCATTCTTGGCGTAAACATCTTCACTCTTTCCCCTCTCTTCGCCTCTCTCCTCACTACCTTTCTCTCGAGCGAACCGCGCTCTCTGCGCGCTCCACTCATGCTCATCGCACTACATGTATCTCACCCCAACCCCTCCCTCACTCTCTCCTCTCTCCTCCGTCCCTCTCCCTCTCTCTCGCTCCTCTCTCCTCCCTATCTTTCTCCCCCCCTCTCCTCTCTCCTCTCTCCTGTCTTCTCTCTCCTCTCTCTTCTCCTCTCTCCCTCCCTCGTCCACACACACACCATAGGAATCTTCTACTACGTGTACATGGGTATGCTGGCAGTGTTCTGTACCAATGCCATCAACATCCTGGCCGGGATAAACGGAGTCGAGGTCGGCCAGTCGGTGGTCATAGCTGCCTCCATCATCCTCTTCAACTTCCTGGAGCTGGCGGGCTCCTGGGGCTCAAAACACCTCTTCTCCCTCTACCTCCTCCTCCCCTTCCTAGCAGTCTCTCTCGCCCTCCTCATGTACAACTGGTACGTACGTCTCCTGCGTGTGTATCCCTGTCATAGTGTGGCGCGTCTCTCGTCTTTCAACTTATGATCATTGTGTTGACACATGCATGTATATACTCAGTTTGGAGTTGGGCATCTATGGTGGTTTAAATACCCCGGTCTGCTCCTACATAATTATACTGAGTGAGAGTTTACTGTGCCATAGCACAGTGGTTTGAGGTTTGCCTTGTGTTGTGTGGTGTTGTAGATTCGAACCCCTACAAGCTGAGTTGCCCTTGTAGCTCAGTTGGTAGAGCACTTGCCTAGACTGCAGAGTGTCGTGGGTTCGAATCTCACCCAGGGCAGCTCTTCTTCTTTTGTTTGAAAAGAAGGAGCGTCCTGGATATGGTTGACTGGTTTGCTTTGCCTTGCCTTTCTACCTCATTACCTCGTTAATGACACATGCTCATTCCCATCCCTCCTATACTAACTACTGCCGTACTTACTACACACAGCAAATAAAACTCATTTTCAACAAGCAAAATTGTGAGAGCAGTATTATACATGAGGAGGGACGGATGTTTACATTACTCAGTCTGTGTCTGCATGTGTACACTATCAAGTGTGACGTTGTTGTCATCGGGGTTAAAGGGGAAAGTGCACCATTCAGAGAACCACGTATAGACTCTTCGGTTGCCAATAAAGGGAATGCTTAGCACCAAAACACCTGCTTAGTCCCACTACATCTGTCCATGGTAATATCATCTACGGTCCGAAATGTCTCTGTTGTATCAAGAAATGCCTTAATGCAGGCAAGTAGTCATCCGTGTTATTATGTATCTAATGTGCCATAGGAGTGTTGTATCTAATGTGCCATAGGAGTGTTGGTGACGTTCGGTGCAAGTTCAGAGAATCACCAGAAGGAGGAAATTCCAGTAGTCATTCAGTGTTGTTATCAAACATTTTCCTAATGTGCGTTCAGTGGTAGTTCATAGGAGTGTTGGCGACGTGATTACTCTGCCCTCCAAATTACATATAAACTAATAACATAATTATAATTCATGTCTGCTCACATCCCTCGTGGGACAGAAAACAAGAAATGTCGCTTTTCCTGTAAAACCAGGTGTTCTTTCTCTTCCACTGGCTGTGCATAACCCATCCCAAACACTGAACGGGTTCTATACCGATCTTCAACCATTGGTGTGTTTGTTTTACCATTACGGCAAAGTAGTTGCTATAACTCACAAAATCACCCTGAGAGTTTTGGTAGACCTTGTGTAGCAGAAGTGAAAGATGATTTTTGTCCATAGCAACAAAGCCTTCCCATACCACAGTGTATCCGGGGGTGTCCTCTCCTTCTTTCTCCCTAATGCTGCAAAAGGACATTGTGTCGTTGTACCTTAAAAACTTAGAACGCACGCATCACTTGTGTTCTACACATTCTCAATCTACACCCCATCACTATGCCTTCCTATTCCTATCTTGGCATGTTCAAATTTGTCGCCCTCAACAATGAAAATTTGTAGATTTAATTAATTCCGTACATGTCAATGCACTCACTCGTGTCACGCTCTTTGATTGCAACGGTATTTTCAGGAATGTGCGTGGTCCCACAGGTATCCAGTCACAGGGTTTGTAGGTGACACTTTCTGATACTTTGCGGAATGACGGTTCGCGGTGGTCGGAATCATGTCGCACTTCAGCAAGACATTGACGCCTCTCTTCATTCCAGATTCGCACTTCCTGTATCATGTTCACAGCTGTGTGGTATCATTCCTTTCACGGACCACAGACACCGCCCCTCTACCCAGGTACACATGCTCTCTAACAGACACAGTCATCTCTAAATCTCCACTCCTTTTCTCATGTTCACTATTTTCTTCCTCTTCCCTCTGCCTCTATCTGTTTGTTCCTGTCTCTTCCTCTCATCCTCCTTTTTCGTCCGTCCTTCCTCTTCCATCATCTCTCTGCTCCTTATCTACCGACTACCTCCCACTCACCAACTCTCTCAGCACCTCTTCCCTACTGCCAGGATCTGAACAGACAAATATGGACTCTGGGCATCAGCTGGGCCCAGTTCCATCCTTCTACCGATCTAGGCCTCTGCAAACTAACTCTCAGCATCAGCATCCTACAGTACCATTCAGACTAGTGACCACAGAGGCTTTTGCCAGCGAGGAGGGCGAGATCCGCGTCAATAACCTCACCATCATCACTTCTGCTGAGACTCACTGGCCCACCCGACGACGAACAACCACTGACTGTACGTGTGCTGCTCGTCTTCAAGTATAGCCTCAGCGGCATGCTTTCTTATTCGCTACGGTCTGGTCATAAGTCTTCTATCCCTAGCACACCATCGCATGACATACTTCATGCATCATACCCTCATCTATATAGGGATCAGTTTGCATCCCTTACCAGTTTCTCTATGTTCTGATTTTGTTGTATAACTATCTCGGACAGTAATATATCGTGTTTGAGCATTTGGTGTGTGTGTGTGTGCTGGTGAGGATAATTAATGCACATTAAATTAGGCTGGTGGGAGGTTGTCCTGCGAAATTCGAGTACACGGTCAGCGTCTCGAGGAGTCGTCGTTACTTATTGTATTACTGACATGAGGAGGAAATGCGAATTTTGGGGAGAAGGTTTGTGATCAGAGAAATGGGGTTGGACGGAAAGGGAGGATTGAAAGTATAGAAAGTGCCACACCAGGGGATGCGGATGTGAGAATGGTTGACCGTGGGAGGAGGTGATTGTTGACACATGGGATGAAGTATTATATTATTATATGGAGTCGGATTGCAACGGGGACTGCCGGGAGGAAAGTTAAGCCATATGCTTGATTGGTGCGGGGAATTGTTTTTGAAAGCACTAAAGATTCTCAGTACGGTTTCATTTCAGTGGGTATGCGCCAAACATTCGATGCGCACGTGCGGCGTATGCGGTGTTGCGAGCGTTTATAAACGGAAAGTCGTTAGCTGCCAAGTTACAGTTGTTCCGACGAACAATATCGCCGTGATTAAAGATAGAATTTTTTCTCACACTGCCGTTGGTTATTGCAACCACGCGATTTTGAT